TTTTTTTTCTTTTTGCAATTGTGCATAAACATTATGCTTAACTTATACCTATTAACTTAAATTAAGTTTTATTTTTTACATTATTTTTTCTTTTTTTTTTAACTGATATCTAAATATAACTTATATTAGGTAGATTATATTTTTTTTACATTATTTTTTTTTTTTTTTTTTGAACTTGTGTCTGAACATTTAATATTTATTTTATATTTACTTTAATTAAATTATATATTTTTTACATTATTTTTTTGTCTTTTTTGCTATCGTGCATAAACATTTTATGATTAATATATATATATATATATATATTTACAATTTAAATTAGGTTTTTTTAGCTATTAATTTATACAATTAAATGTCAGCATGTCATTATATTTATGCATCTCAAAAATAAGATACTTGAAATTTTTAACCAAAAGTTTAAATTTTTCTATTTCTTTTGTGATAAAATTTTTAAAATGCTTAAACCATTTTTAAGCTATTATTGGCATAAGAAATTGCAAGTTGAAATACTTAAAAATGTAGTACAAGATCATAAATATTACATACTTAAACAATAAAATATAAAAATACAGAATGTTTCAACATGAACTGACCGTTGCAATAACTTTTGTTCTATTGAACGTTTTCAATTATTTTTTTTTTTTTTTTAATTGGCAATTGTTATTTTTGCTACATTTAAAATATTTTTCAAATTTTTTTGACTTTTTTTTATGCAAAATTAAAAATTAAAAAATGTTCTAACTGATATTTAAAAAAACAAGATAGCTATTTTATAAATCTAATTTTTTGATGTCATAAACTTTTACTAAAGTTGACTCAATAATTTTTAAGCAATTTTTAAAGTTTGCTTAAATTCAAATTTATTTCTTGTTCATTACTTTATCAGTGTTTTAGTGATTATCAATTATTATCAATTATCCAGAAAATCTATTTGAAATAAAATAAAATTATGCAAACTTCAATAAATCGTAAAAAATAAACTGCTGAACATTTTTCATTTTTTTAAATATCGAATAGAAAAATTTTTAATTTCTTAATTTTACATAGAAAATTTAAAAAAAAAATCAAAAAATTAATTGAAATGTAACGCAGATAACAATTGATAATTTAAAAATATAATAAGTTGAAAATGTTCAATAGAATAAAAGTTATTGCAATTATTAATTTACCGGGAAACAATGTAGGTATAGGTATTAAGGCAATTATTTTTTTATAGACGTTTTAAAGTTCCAACTCAGAGAAATTTACTTTTTTAAATAATAAATGACGACATGATAATTATTTTTCTATAGTTAAAAAAAACGTGGATTCCTAACTTTTATGCATTTTTTGCAGAGTGAGGAACTAAAACAACCGATTTTCTAAGATAAACAATAAAATAAAAAAAAACGAATAAAAATAACTATTATCTATTATAATCATGTAAATAACTTACCATTTATTTTTTTTTTTAATCAAATCCGCATGGCCATCTCTTCTCAAGCCTACTTCGTATATTTTCCACTACACGATTTATCGCTTCCAAAGGTGGTACATTTTCAAGTAGACGAATGGTTTTTTTTTGTATAGGTTTCTTTCGGAAACACATTTTTCGAAGTTATCCATAATTTAACAACTTTAGCAGATGGTACCGAATCGTGACGTTTAAGATTAAAGTGAAGACGAAATGAACGCAGTGCGGCTATTTTTGTAAAACAATTTTATTGGACGAGCGCGTCATTCACCACTCCACTGTTTCATGAATACTAAATAGTAAATAGTAAATAATAAATGGCACACGTTGTTTTAGAATTAATAGTATTTAGCAATAATTCTTATCTAAATTATTACTGGGAAAATCTATTTTTAAAATCGGCCGTTCGAGTTTTTCACTCTGTGTTATTATGAATTTTATTTAACGCAATAATAACAATTTTTATTTATTTTTACTTTCTAGGTATTAGTATGAATGTAAATTATCATTTCTGTGAATATACAGTATTCACAGAAATATTATATTATTGATATAATATGGTATAAATATAAAATATACATTATTATTATAATTTTATACTCTAACAGTCTAACCAGAACCGGTAAAACTCGCTGTAATTGAATACTCTAGGTCGGAGACAGCACTTGAGAAAAACCGTAGTTAGAAAAGTGAATACCCTAGGTCGGAGACAAAACTTGAGAAAAACTAGCTCTAACAACTTTTTAGAACTCTTATAATTTTACTCCTAAGAATATTATTGCTGATAATATTTACATCAAGGATATTATAAAGATTTAAGGTAGTATTTACCAAATACGGTGTATAGTGTAATTAAAAATGTAAATAAAATTAATCTTATAATCTTGTCTAAGATTGAATTGTGTTTTATAATTTATAATGTATCTATAACTAATAGTTTATTTTACTTACATATTTGTTAGATTTAATTTTTTTTAAATAATTGTTTTTGTCATTAATTTATGATAAATTGAGTATAAAAAATATAAAAATGAAAATTAGAAATTAGAACTTTGATGATATCTAACATTTATAAAATATAATTTTATCACAATAAAATGTTTTAGGACTTCAAGAGTGACGGGTTGTCGACCAACTCGAAAAGGTGAATCAGATAAAGAATAATGAAAGACCGCTTAACATTGCTACTTAGATTTTTTCAATGATGTCACCGAACAGTTTTTCTTACTCTTAATTTTGAAACTTTTATCACAATGGGTGTAACAACGATCCACGATATCCATTGAAAAGATTGGTGAATCGAAGCACAATCTTTCATTTATGGTTGTGTATTCAGATTGAATTATTTTAATTTTCGATGCTGTATGCTGTATGGGGGAAGTAATGCTGTTGCAGAGCACGTCCCACCCTATTTTTATGTTAACAGTTAACGAAGAAAAATATGTCTATAGTCTATGAATCTTTATTAAGCTTATGAATTTATGATAAATATACGTTCAAAATGAATAAAGTTAATAATACCAAAATATTATATTACTTACCTGAGCACGATGTATAAATATTTTTTGCATAAAAAAATATTGGATAATCAATATTAATAATGTATACAGACATTGAGACATGTGTCTAAGGGGGTCCATGTAGTCTGAACCCCCTCTCTGTTATTTAAAAAAATTAAAGGTACGCTATATAGTATTTAGAAACATAATTATATTATATAAGTACATAATTACGTATTATCTGATTCCTATACCAAATTTGCGCAACCTTTTTTGATCTACAACCCTCAAATTTATGTATTTTGATGAAGCAACCTCCTTCCTATCAACATTATGTAAGTAATTTTTTAACTTTTATTAGATTATCAATTTATATATATTAATTATATTAGTATATCAGTTATATAAACTTAAAGTAATTTTATTCAAAAACTATTTCAAACATTTGTATACTACTAAAAAGCAATTTTTTCGGGAACCAATTCGTACACTTTATTCGATCCAGGAACCAATTTCGTATTGACCTAGTACCTACCTACTCTTTACTCAAAATTTTCTCATATACAATGATTTATCATTATTAAATTCAAATTTAACACAGATATTACAGTATTTTACCCTTCAATCACGAGGTATCTACGATGATCGCGCCTACTGTAATATAGCAAAGCGGTTACCTATTTTCCTCCGTTTTAATTTAACTTAGTATTTCAGCCGCATCAACTATCAACACGGTAGTGGCGATACGAGTAAAAACATGCTTATCATGCATGAAACTTGAGGCACACATGAACGTAAATTTTACATATAAATAATATTAACATAATAATGACTATGCTTCCGTCGAACAAATTCATACTTTTCGCATTCAAAACAATAATAATTATAATTTATAACCATTAAAATGATAATTAATAATAGTTTTATAGTATAATACTTGACCAGTATTTACACCAGTGTAGGTAGTAAGTAGCAACTCAAAAAAATAAAAACGATTTCACACAATCAGAAGGGGATTTCCCATTAGACATTGTAGGCAGCTGCCTAGGGCGTCAAAATTTGAGAGGGCGGCAAATGTTGTAGTGTTTAATTAAAAAACATCAAACTTCTAAAAAAAAAATTTTAAAAAAATTACTTTAAATTTACGAAAAATAATTAATAATGTGCGTATTTATTTTATATTTTATATTTTTCTATATTTTATATGGTATACGGTTGTGGTAACTTGTTCAGTTGTTCGCCTATTATAGGGACTGCAAATTTTTGATGCCTATAGCCGGAAAAAAAGATAAATCCGCCTCTACGACACAACGAAAAAAACCTGAAACGCTCATAACACTAAAAATATTTTACATCTAACCTTACACTATTTGAATACCATATTTCGTATGCACAAATATTAAATACTACTTAACAGGTACATTGCAAAGATGTAACTTTTACCATAAAAGATCAATATTACGTTAAGTACTTAAAATAATATGATACAGTTTAGAGTTTTTACGATAATATGTTATACAGCGAGAAATAGGTTATGTTGAATATTTTCTTGATGCGTATTGCGTTGGTAATCTTCCGTTAGTCTGCTAGTATAGTCCCCTCCAACTGAAAACTGACGAGTTTTACAGACGATTCACACTCCAACCTACACGAGATCGGACCTCCACCTCCATGAATTCGGATGAAATAATAATAACAATAATAATATTGTGGCAGTGGTTGTATGAAGTTTGATGAACCCGTTCGTACGGCGTCCGTGCAGTTCGTAATAATAAACGATTTAAGAATATTTTAGTAAAACTTTTTTTTGTTCGTTTGTTGTTTGTTATTAGTTTTTTTTTTTTTTTTATTTTGGGTTTTAGCCACCGTCTAAAACACAATTAGTCGCAATAGCAGTCATTTGTCCCCGAAAGTTTGGCATCGCTTACCTGGATGGTAACACGAAAAGCGGTCGTAAATCAGGTAAAGTTTCTTAGTTAAATTTTATTTCGTTTTATTTTTTTACGCCCACGGTAATAAATTACAAGTTCTCATAGTGGCTATTATAACATAATATTTTAATTATTTAATGTGTATACTGCTGCGAAACTGCGTATGAGTCTGTCATTATAATAAATACCTATCCAATACAAAACTTTTAAGATACACATGCAATCTTCGTCTCTAATGTCTTTGTCAAGGTATATTCACTAATGACAGCCTAAATTTGTATATTTGACATGTTTTAAAACACAGTTTTGTGGTTTTTACATTGGATTAATAGTAAATGTATATGCCATTTTAAAGACGATAAGTTTGTTATCAGTTTTCGATTGTCGATTCTTTTTTTATAATTTAACATTAAAGCTATAGTTTTTATAGCGACAATAGATAAGTAATATAATAATTTTAAAATACTCGCTTATGACAACTAATGTATATGAATTTGTAAAACATCCTACTAGAAAGATATATGTATTTTTTAAACGAACCATTTAAAATCCCATCGAGTATCTCTGGCACGCTTTATTTCTAAGAATAAATCCTAAAATTATTAATTAACAACATTGAAAATATATTTACCAGTATTTGTATATAAGAAATAATTTTTAATATTTTTATACATGTACGTAATAAAACGACTTTACTGTAGATAGTTCATAGATCCATATTATAAAACCTGAAATACGTTAATAACATTTCATGCAATTATCACTTGCAATCTGTTTCTATTAATTGGTATTTTAATTATAGTTTTTGAATATTTATAAGACTGTGGGTAATAACTCCGGTCGCGACAAACAACAGTAATATAGGAACTTACGTAATATAAATTAATTAGTATACTTTATTTATATTTATAACTGAATACAGAATATTAATAAATAGGAACAATTTATAAACTTTTTACTATAACTTTATATATTTGTAGGTCATGTTATTTTACATACAAGCTAACAAGCTGCACCCGAGACAGGGGGAGTTATACAAACCTAGCTAATTGTTACAAAAAATGTATCTTGTGAATTCATCTGGAAAAGTGAAATATTTAGTTAAAACAAATACATAAATAACTTGTGATTATTTATCTAGATAAGATAAAATATATAAAAATAATTATCTAGATTTATTCCAAACACTGTTCATGAAGTATTCTGTTATAATCATTTTTATTCTTTGTATGGTGTTGACGTGTTGTTCTTATCTTTTTTTTATTTTTATCAGACTATACTGAACTTTTTTCTCAACCAAAACAATGACAAGTATTTAATATACCCCGAGACTCAATATTTTGAAAGGTCACTACTACTAAATGCTAAATAATATAAATTTCTACGTTGAATTAGTTCTATAATTTCTATTTTCACTACATTATAAACAAAAAACAAATGGAAACCAGGAAACTATCTGCCTATGAATAATAATTTAAAATTACTATTTGAGTGTAATTCTATGATTTTATTTATTATTATTATTATTTAAGGTATGAAAGTTGTTTATTTATTTTACGATTGACATTATCTCTCACACTTCTTCACTATAACTTATTTTATTTTTAGAATTGTTGATTTTAAAAATCTAAAGATGGATGATGGCCAATTCTTTTAATGTTTTTGGTACATATTATTTTAATTCAGCAAATGTAAATTAACTCATTAATCACAGTAATTATTTAGATAGTTCAAGTTCAGCTATCAGTATTGTACCACATATTTAATATTGTAATTTATAAAACCAAAAGCATTGGTTATAATACGAATAGGTGTATGTTTAATTTAGTTTTAAAAAATATAATTTTAAACAAAATAAAATAGGAAGTGTTACGACTTCTTCAAACAAATAATTTCACTATCTTAGTTAACCATCACATATTCTTATAGTTCCTTAAGGTACGGATTGTACATATCTTAAAGAAAAAAAAAAATTAAATAAATAATTTAATAAAATTGGTATAACGCCTTCTTTGAAAATCTCAAGATAATAAAAATGGAACATAGCGATAAAGTTAATAAAATAATAATTTATTTCACAAAGGTTATTTACGCTTTTTTCTTGTATCAAAGTTATTCGTATTGTTTTTTAAGTACTTTTACTTAAAACTTTAAGGTTATTTTTAATATTGCCTTATAAAAAATGTTCAACCTGCAAATTGGTTACATTGGCTTTAATTAAAGATATACTCGAGACGGATAACTTATAATTGATACATAAACAATTTCACATCAAATACAGCTGGAGCTATAGTTACAATGTGTGTGAATAGTCGAACGAACACACGTGTTATGCATTGAAAAATAATGATATTATTATGTGTGGAATATAAACTTTAGTTTCTGCATAATATAAGTGTGATATAGATTGAAAATGTATGAGTTGTTGAACCAGGTTCATTATTGGAGAAGTCGGTAAGTGAAAAATGTTTGGTCTGGTTTGATAATTTGGGAATCATTGGAAATTAGAACTATTTTGTTGACTTTTAGTTTTATTTTTGGCACTGTTTAAAGAGCAATGAAAAATTTTCAGCACTCGGTTTAAAGAGGATAAAAGATGAGAAATCTGATATTGGATTTTGCGGCAATCACACGGGTGTAAAGACAGCGACCTGTGATTGGTTTTACGTAACTTAGTAATATTTATATAGTTTATAAAACTAAATACAATCTTATTTAATTTAGCAGTGAAAGTTTGACATTTAACTTAGGTAAAATAAAGAGATACTTAATGTACAACCAGTTTTATTTTATGTCTTGTATTGTATGTGGCATGTGCCAGTTAGTTAAACGTTTAAGTTGCGTAATATTTGGCCAACGAAGCAAATGAGCTTAGGCAGCACTTAGTTAAATAATATTTAAGGACGTAAACAAAAATAAAAGAAAATTCTATAAAATAGTTGTGAGTATTACTGGAGATATAACGGGGTTAAACTTTAGACTATATTCTTACTAAGAATAATATATTTTAAGGTTAATTGCATTTAACTTATTCTTATCAATAGTATTCTAGTCACATAAAATATAGTATACTCATTAAACTCATTAAAACTACATTAATTGTTCATGCTTATTTAAGCATTACAAACATTACAAGTCTTTGATAAATCTTAATAAAATCGATAAAAAATAATAATAATAATAACTTATAAATATGGTTTTTCAAAATATTTGTTTATTAATGTAAATTAGAAAATATCTATTAAATTTATTTTAAATTCTTTATTTATATTTAAATATAAATATGTCATTACTATTTTTTTTTAATTATACAAATGTATTATATTTAACGTTAATGTTTCCGAACATATTTAAAAAATAGTTTAGTGAATAATGTTTGATTTTATTACATTGCTATCTACTTTCTAATACTTAATAGGTAAGTATAATAATTATCCTATTATGACTATTTTTTATTTAACTTTTAATTTTATTGATAATTTACAGATTAAATTTTATTTGTATTCATCAAAAATGCTAAACACGAAGATAATAATTAAGGGCATAATATTTATGAAGCAGTACATATAATATTAAACTATTACGTATTTCCTAACCACAACATTGTTTTGTCATTATTGGCACATATAAGTTAGTAATTGCTAAAATCATAAAATAATATAAAAAATAATTTTACATTATTTGTTTAATGATAAAGTTCTTTACTAAAAATATGATATATAATTGTAATAAAAAAAACTAACAAAAACAAATTTAAGTTCAGGATACTGAAAACATCAATGGCGGTTATCACAAATAAATATATCTATATTTATCAATATAAAAGATAAGTATAATTTTATTATTGTTAACATTTTTAAATTAAGATAAATAAGATACAATATTTTGTAAAAAATTAATTAAACGTCATATATAGGTGGTAGTTATACATTGTAATTCACCTAATTAAAAATTACGTAGTTTAACTTTAAAGCCTGTATAGATTTTAATATATATATATATAAATTTATTTTTTATCCAATATATACAGGTTATAAATAATAAATATATATAACTTGTAAATACATACAAATTGCGTTGTTGTAAAAAAACATAAGATCATAAGATGTAAGGGTACAAATTATTTTTTTAAATAAAACAATATAATAATTATTAATAGTATAAAAAACAAGTATTTTGTACTAACAAATCAATATTTAAAAGAAAAAAAAGAATTTACTTTACTTTTTTCTAAGCTGTAAGTTCAAAACTAAGATAAAGCTGCTGTTTCTACGGTCACTTTAAATTTTATTGAAGAAAAATTCCCAACTCATATGCTCAAACCATTGGAACGGTTTGATATGTAGTAGGCGTAAAAAATAGGTAGACAGCTGTACACCATAATGATGTAATTTTTTACCATAATTTATGAAACTGATATAAATTAACAATAATCATTGCATATAATATATTCTCATAAAATACTATATTTTTAAAATATAATCTATTTTACATACCTGTTTGTTAATAAAATAAAATGAATAGACTACCCGGACTACTGCATAAATAGTTATATTTTAATACCGAATATATTAACTATCTTTATATTTTGTTTGTTTCAGAAAATTGTGTAGATCATGGAAAAACCCATTTTAGAACAATATCAAATACATGAAAATAATAAAAACCAAAAAGAAAAAAATGCTTCGGAACAAACCGATTCTACAAATTTTACTAAGATACAAAATAATATCAACGATATAACTGATCCTTCTCATGTAGAAAATGGCAATTCCTCGGCACAAATTGGTCAACCTACTGAAGACAATGAACTCCAACCTATTATAAATAATAAAAATGGAATTTTCGGAAATGTAAATACAATAAATACAATATTTAAATTACGTTATTGAATATAAATAATTTATTTTTTCAGATACTTGGAGAATCTGATGATGACACTTTAAAAGCTTTTGATTTATATAGAAAAAAGAAACTTTTAACTCAAGGTATGATGGACATCGCGTTATTTTCCGCAAATGCCAATCAATTAAGGCATGTCTTAGAGACGTTTGATGGCCAATACATTTCATACATTTGTGCAGTACTTTTATTGATAAGCATAATTCTGCAAGTAAGAAAATTAAATTTCGAGTATTTTTGAATATACTTGTATTCTATATTAACGTATTATTTTTTATTAGATTTTGATTGGCATGACTATGCTTTTGAGTATTCAGTACAAAGTAACTAATTGCAATGAACGAAAGATGGCGTTTAAGATCGGAAATTATGTTATTGTCGGAATATTCCTCGTAACTGTGGTTAATATTTTAATATCTGCATTTGGAAAACCAATATAATCATACTACAGTTTTATACATGATTTGACGCAAAAAACTCAAATTTTATTTTTTATGGACTTTTATTGCATTTTTTTTGTCCCTTTTTCATAATATTTTCTAAAAATGATACATGCTTATTTCTTAGTATTGTGTAATTAACTTTTAAATTAAGAGAAATAAATCTTCTCAAACCACCTACCCCGTCTATTTTTACCAATGTATAATATGTTCAACATATTATGACGTCTTATACATAATTATTACTAATTACTTTTTATTGTTAATTATTTCTATCGTTATTAATAAGTACCAAATAAAACTTGATCATATCAATTTGAATATTGAAAATACTTAAAATTTAAAAAAAAAATTGTATTTATTTGAAAACGTTTAAACTTATTACAATATAGTATCTACTTATTGATTTTTATACTTCTACATGACCGATATTTAATAAAATTACCACACTATACCTAATCATGAAAAAATATCAATCTTCACATACCTCAATATTCTTGATTAAAAAGTATTGTTGAAATTTGTTTATGTAGCGATCATTAAGCTTACATTAGGAAAATATTTTTTTTTTATTATGCATGTGTAACCTACAATTTACTTTTATTTTGTACGTATAAATATAATTAAGACTGCTATTATAATTACATTTATAGTGATTACTAATTAATTTAATAAAATTTTTCTATATATATTCTTTTTTTTATATAAACTATGCCTTTTAATTTTATTTTAACATTATTCAAGGTTAAGTCAAATTTATGAATTTTAATCATTCATAAAATTATACGGGTAATATAAGATATTTGATCTTGTTTAATATTTACAAATACAATATATAAATATAATGATTTAAATTGATAACACAAATGTACAACACCAAATATAGAATGTTACAATAATTTTTTTTATTAATACTTGAAGAATACTACAATATTGATTACAAAGCTAGAATTTAGCAAGTTAAAAATAATTTGTAATTAATTAACATAACGCATGACTTATTTTTATGACTGTTCAACTAATAACTTTAAAAGTATGTAACTTATTTGTACTTAACATGTTAACTTCAGTTTCATAGCCACTTAAGAATACATACCTCATAATGCTTAAACTTTTTAAGAATTATTTTTTTGAGAAGTAATCGATATTTTCACCAACTTATACAATCTTTAACATCTAAATTTAGCAAAATTCAAGTAATATTTGTTTTATCTCTAATTTAATTGTGTATAATTATTTAAAATGCAACAATTATTGTTGAAAGTGTAATACTGTTATTTGTTGGATTTTATTGTTCATAATATTGATTGTACCTATTTAATTGTTATAATTTATCAAAAATAAAATAAATATTAAACCAAAAATTTAATGAAATCTAGTCATAAGAAAATGTAATTTGATTGCGATAAAATATATACTATTTTTATTGTATTTGTTTAATTATAATATCGTTTTAAAACCTTAATATCTTGCATTATTTTTATGTTACTTATGTTTTAAGATATTTATAAATAGTTATAAAATGTAAATTTCATCAAAGATATTTTTGTAATTATCATTATTCACTGTTAAATAATAGTTTTCAAGCAATGAGTTATTTTAAATTTTAAGCTTATGAATAAATATAACTGTTTAACAATGATGAGTTTTTTTTTGTCCAAGAACACTATTTTTAATAGGAAAAAAATATCCATATCCAGATCATTAACTTCTAGAGGTTTTCGGTAAAAAATTTAATCTAGTTTGTACTTCACAGGGTAAAAGCAGAAATCAGAAATATTCTATGCTTAAAATAGTCATTAATATTGTTTATCAGCAATAAAAAATGATGTACATTTTTTTTTACTTTTTAGAAACTATTGGTTTACTATAATGAACCATAGTAGAACCATGGTTCTACTATGAGTAAAGTATATATAAGTTTCTTTTAGAATAAAATAAACATTAAAAAACTATTAGCTTATTAATTATATACACTATTACTTATTGTATTAGCTAATAATATTGAGTAATATTGAACGAAATAATATCATGATAATTAGTAATTACTTATAAAAATATATGAGATTTGATTTAATAACCATATACGTATAATATATAATATAATGATTAATAAATATTTATTAATTATTGTACTATATCCTTAGAAACACACGGTGATAAACCATAGACGGTTTCCTCTTAGAATTGTTTTATTAAGTATCTAAATAATTATGATTCATCATTAAATTCAAATTTTATATATCTATTGTGACATACTCAATCATTATGTGCATTCAATATCTTACTATACATCATAGTACGTGAATCCAGGGTTTTACTAGGGATTAGGTTATACTATAAATGTCGTGTTATATAATTATTGTATATTTAGGACAGTTGAACAACGTCCATTGTTTATTTATTTACGTTTAAAATATATTATAATATTTCAATCAACAATATGAAAAATAAATTTATCGGTACATTAAAAAAATATTTTTAATTAAAGTTACTAAATTTAAAATATTATAAATAATAAAAAAATATTAAAATATATAAATAACTGTATAAACATACAGATCCAAAATTATAAGACGAAATCTAATTTTATTTTGGTTTTAGAAAACCTATCAACAACTTTATTCTTACTATTAAGTTTATTACAATGAATAAAAATGTAAATACGAGTATGAGCAATTACGACAAGAACGATAGGATGCGAGACGTCACGTCGTTAATCAGCACGATTAGAAAATGTAATAATAATAAATAATAACATTTTTTTAAAAAATTTGGGAAATTTATGAAATCTATCTTTCCTGTAGCCTCTCTTGTATTCACATTTAGTTACCAACTTTCTTACTCGCAGTTATCAAAAAGTTATTTACTAAAATTATTATTTTACATTACAAAATAGAAAATAATCTAATATTAGTTCCTATGCTACATTAACACAAACAAATCAAACACATACCTATAATAGTTATAATACACGCCAAAGACATTTAGCATAAATTAACAAAAATAAAAAACATCCATTACCAATAATCAATATTATTGATTATAAATAGTATTTATGTATTTAGTCTTTAATAATTTAATATGGTCATGCAATTTCAATTTTATATAATTAAATTCAATCTGAAATTTTCAAATAATGATCAATTAACCTATATGGGAAACACAAAAAGGCTTTCAAGAGATCCCATGAAAATCTTAAATCATATAATATTGTTGTTTGTTTACATTTATATTCATTTAATATTTCAATTGACACATAATATTACATTATATTATTATTTATTATACCATATAATGCATCAAACATGTGTACGTAATACATAAATATCTACTGTTAAATTTTGTTTAAAATAAAAAATATTTTGTTTTCTGACGAATACTAACAGTTATAATATAATATAATAAATAACAAAAAAAAAAAAATTAAATATATATATATTTATTTCAGAATACTAATTGATAATTACAAATAATATGTATTAAATAACAATTTAATAATTTTTAATACAAAATAATTTATTATTTCGTAAAATATGTTAAGAAAATAATAATAACGCACACCTGGAGTTAAAAAAATAATTATACGTTATTTATTAAATTATGTAATTTTATATTAAAAAAATACTAAGAAATCGTTTGTATCATTTATATACGTAATAATACAATTAATATGTAATAACGTATCTATATATCATATATGCTCACTAAGTTATCCTTATAAATAAAAATTAAGTAAGTACACGTGTTCTCAAGGTTAATAAATGATGATATTGTTTGAATAAAACAACTAAATATAGGAATCCCCTACTAATATATCATAGTAATTTTTTTTTTTTTAGAAATACAGACTGAATATCGGAAATCACGTCGATAGATGGACATTTGTTGAAACTAGATTCGACCAGTAGTTAATCAAAGACAATGCCTGCGTGTCCTCCGTCTCACTATAGTACCGAACAACAGGTATTAAAGGATCGAGATCAAGTGCACACCAATAACAACTCCGAAACCACCGAGCAAAAACTAAAACACGCTGCAGCACAAACGCCTAACAGATCGACCGACATTAAGACCCAACAAATAGAGATGAACGAAATAGTAACAACAAACCGTAGTTCAACAGTAGATTTCTCGACTGATCATACCGATACGAATGGTGCTGAAATGGGATTAGTAAATAATCAAAACGACAAAGAACTCCCGGCGGACGACGACAGTTTATTACCGAACCAAACTGTTATAGCCAATGAGGTGTGTATAAAATGCAAAATTAATAAGTGGTTATGTTTCCATATGTTTTATTACTTTTATTTTTAAGATGTTACCTATGCACTACATATACATTTAATTTATATAATAAGCATATATTATATCAAAGATTAATTCATTATTTACAGTTAATCGCAATCACTTTAATACATAGACATATGGAGAAAACCCATCTATTAAGGAACATCTAATAGTTAATTCGTACAATTATTAAATGCATAAATTAAAGTTTAGAGTATAAGGACTCTCTGTATAAATTTCTTTTTAAGAAACAAGGAACACTACTGAGGGCAAGATTTAGCCAATAGTAACAAACTGTAGGTACTAATAAGTATATGTTACGTGGGTTTTCTTGATTTCTTAGTCAATTTCTGAATCGTTAATGTTGTGACTCAGTCGTTATTAATTTATAGTGGGCCAGTAAGTTTTTTTTTAGAAGTATTTCAGTCGATTTATAAGGAAGAGCAATATACGGTTGATAAATTAGCCAGTATTTTTTTAAATATTTCAACTCTTTTTAAACTATTTATAAAAATTTTCATTATACGCTGGATAAAAATAGTTAAAAATTTGATACAAGATTTCTTACAAGTTGTTTATTTACCAATTAAAACATTTCAAAAAATTACAGTCATAATATTTATGAATTTATAAACGTTTGAATTTCGAATTTCGATAAAATTTGTGAAATCTCAAAAAATTTCAAATTTTTTCATAGTAAATAATTTTATAATTTTTAAAAATTTTATTTTTTTATTCAAGACTTAAAATTTAATGCAAGGTTCTTTATATGTTTTTCAAACTATTTAACAAAAAAAAATTCTACTTACATGACAAATTAAATTTTTTTTAGCATATTAAGTTTTTACTATTTTTTTCTCAAAGATGTTTTACATTTTTATTTTTATAGATGTCGATAAAAAAATTTCACTCAGTCATAAAACTTGAAAATTAAATACAAGATCCCACATAAGATGTTCTTACAGATACGTAAAAATATTTAGAAAACATATTATGCACAATTTATTTTTATGAGTAATTTGAAGTTTAAATTTGAAGAAAATTTTAAATTTTAACTATGAAAAACAATATTTATTGTATTGTTGTTATAGCTTAAAAAACATTATTCGTGGGGACATAAAATGTTTACGTATATTATTATATTTAATACACACAATGATATTTTTAAGAACAGCGTTTTCGAGAAAAAAAAATTAATTTAATATAAAATAATATAGATACCTATTGTAGGTACTGATAGTAAAATAAATTTCTTAACTTAATAGCAATATTAAAAAACATACTAAATCATAAATTAATTTATAAATATAAATATATATATATATTTATATCATGAAACAGATATTTTTGAAATGATATTAAAATTAATTTAAAAAAAAATGTTATTCCAGGTGATAGGAAATATAGACGATGATACACCAAGAGCGTTCAACATATACAGAAATAAAAAGTTATTATCTCATGGTATGATGGACGTTGCACTGTTTTCTGCAAATGCAAATCAATTAAGATATGTATTAGAAAATAGTGATGGTAGCGCTCTTTTCGTCATTTGCATTGTGCTTTTGTTGATTAGCATATTTTTACAGGTAATTCTACAAGTTATTAATTTTAGATTTACTAATTATTTAATATGGTCGTATTAGATTTTAGTTGGTGTAGCGCTTTTACTGAGTGCTCGGTATAATGTGACTAATTGTGACCAACGAAGAATGGCATTTAAATTGGGAAACTACGTCATTGTTGGTATATTCCTCATAACGGTTGTCAACATTTTTATAACGTCATTTGGAGGACCAGCAGTAATTTCACCTGCAGTAGTGTTGTCAACTTCTGTGACTGTGACTGAGTATCCAGATGTATTATTATAGATCATGGCTATAGATTCTATCTCCGTTAAATATTAAAATTAATCGTATTTTAAATTGTTATCGATAAACAAACTAAACCCGCGAATTTATAGCTTTTTAAGACTAAAGTTTAGACTAATAAAAGAAGAGTACCTAATTAGATAAAGGATATAAAAAAAAAAAAAAGTACAATGATCCATCTTTCCAATCAACTAAACTAAACTATCTATTTATATAAAAAAAATGTATAAATCTAATAAATATTATCGTTTCATATGCCTAAAATGACTTAACTACTTTATTAGTTCAACATTTTTATAAAAGTATTCTACTTCAAATTATGAAATTAATAATTAAAAAATTATAGTATAAAGTTCATTGATAAATATTGGCCCATCCATAAGTGAGATCATATAAAAAAAATTGGAGAGGGTTAGTCAAAAATTGATATAATTTTGATACAAAGGTAGTCATTACATCATAATAGTTAATATATGTTTTAATATTTTTTTAACTATATACCTAAATAAAACTTTTTAATCGTAATTTAATACAAAGAAATATTTTTTTGAAAGGGATCTGGATCTCCTTACAAATATAGTCTTGCCCATTAATATGGGTAAGATTAGTATTGACTGTATACAATTTTATAGAATTGGATATGTCTTAATTTTTTTTTTTTTTTTTTTTAATTAGTTAAATAAAATAAATACTTTGAAATAATAAATAGGTACTTATATTCACTGTTAAAATAGTTGTATAGAACATAAAGATATAGGTAAAACGAAGACATTTCTATATATATTTATCGAGATATTTAAATAATTTAGAAATGGAGAATTGCATATACTTTTGATGGTCATTAATATTAAATATTAATAACTTTAATAATTAATAATATAATAAATTATTAGTTTGAAATAAATAATAGGTTTTTAAAAAATCTTTAAAATATATTCATGAAATTATAATATATTGTATAATCATGAATTATGATTCATTAATTACTACTTATTTGTTTATAACTTAGATAGATTTATAACATTTTATATTTTTTATAAATAGATACTTAACAAAAAAATGTATATATATAGATATTACCTACTTAAGTATTTTTTAACTAAAAATGTTATTGTTATACCTTAGTTATTACACTTGTTAATATTTAAAGTAATTTTCGAATTGTAAGCTTTAGCCAATAAACTATGTAAAAGTATTTTTAAATTGTTTATCGTAGTCCATAAATTCATAATATGAAATCATACAAATACTATGTTTGCATAATAATTTTCTTGTCAGTGACACGTCAAGTGTTGGTTAGATGGTACTACATATTATCATTTTCCCTCACTTTAACAATTTTACCATTATGTGACTTTCATATTTAATATAATACAGTTTGGGTAAATTACCAATTTAGTTGTATCAACACAAAAAAACGAATACCTGAAAACTGGATACCAGCTTAGAAATATTACAGGTCGAATATGTTTACCTATTAATTATTACTATCATTGTACAAAGTAGTACAGTAGGTAGTAGGTACTATATATCATTATACCTATCGCAAGTTGTAGACAAGTACACAGTAATGTGGACATCAAGCGGAAATTAAGTATGGAGCATAACAACATGAAATAAAATCGGTCCGAATGGAGTATTTTGAGACTCATATAGAAGTATAATGATTCCGGATTTGTGAACCTTCAACCTATAGCCAAAAAAAAATAATGGTATTCTGGCCTGCAACTCTTGGCTTGTGCACGCGATTGATAAGTGATAACGTAAGTGCAGTGCGTGCAAGACCAAAAAATAAAAGAAATGACACCGACTCGTACTAGCCGTCAAAAAATGCGATGTAACTACTACGACTATGCCCTATTATCCTAACATAAGTAATATCGGGGCTTAAAAAATTAAATTCAACGAAAGGTCGATTTTGAACTCGTGAACCAACAAGAGTTAATTGAAAATATCTACCTACAAAAAAGGGTTTCGATCACAAACCAAATGTCGAGTTAGATGTAGTCACTACAGTTGTGTATGAGTTGAAGTCGCCGTGTATCATACTAATATACTGTTATCTTGCCCGGCATAGAGTTACCAACGTCGATAGTTGATGATGTTCAAGGTCGACCCCACTCCCGCCGCCTACAAACATCGCTACACGCGATAATCGTCGTCGACGGCGGTCGACACTCGGCGACGGTGTATTAACATTTTTTTGTGCCAGACGTGCCAGTGCACTAGCGCCGCCGCTCTCCGTAGTATTTTGGTATACGTACCGTCGCCCGGTGCGACCGATGTGTACTGTGTAGTTTAGGTGAACGTTAATTTTTTTTTAAGTTTTTTATTTTTAATTTTTAATTTTTCTCTTCTCTCTTTAAACAACTAAAAATGAATCAGCTCGGCGAATCTGAGCTGTTCGGGGCGTCCCGACGACCTGCACGACAATCATAACTATATAGGATGCAACTATCTACTTACCTACCTATCGATGAAAATAATAAATATTGAAATCATAAAATCTATCAGCGGCCACATAGCGGAGCAATAACAATACAGTAATTATAGTTCCGCTGGGATCAGACATAACGTTATAATGGACAGTTCGGAATACGAATCGGTAAGAAACCAAACGCTGCTGTTCTTTTTTGAAAAATTGGTTGACAAGGGCACTCCACGATCCTTGCACGATTTAAGCTGCCAATTTGGTTCAAAAGGATTCACTAAAGAGATGCGTCAGATCGCTGGCGGATCGCAGTCGGGCTTAAAGAAATTCCTGTCGCAACATCCATCTTTATTCACGTTGGATGGAGATCTAGTCGCCGCATCTCAGATAGTTGCACCAGTACAATCCGATACCAATTATAACCACAAAGCTGTCCATTATTTTAAGGATAAATTGTTGAAATATGGAGTTGGAACTGAAGTACCAATCCGATGCCTACTTGGACACCGTTCTCAAGCGCCACCAGAAATTCGATTAATATCTGGTCTACACATCAAAGAATTTAGAGATTTTCTGTTGAAATATCCTGATGTATTTACTGTAGGTGAAGATACTATTATACTTACAGAGTATGCAGGACTGGAGCGTAAAATGTATGATGATAGCGATCAGCGTGAAATTAAAATTGATCCAGAAATCACAAAACGTCTTTTAACGTTTTGTGTACAATGCTTAGAATGCAAAGGACCAATGTTAACTGATCAATTGTTTCATAGTATTTCTTTACGTTTTACAGAAAACACTTGGTCTTCAATTTTTAAAACTCCATCAGATTTATTCACATTTTTGAAAATGCATCCTGACCAATTTAATACACAATCTAATTTAATAACATTAGCAAAAAATGATCCTAAACCAGAAGTTAAAATTGCTCGAATTCCTATAGAAGTCGTACCATTAACTCCTCCTATGTCCCCTCCTCTACCCAAACCAGTATCAAATAATAATCAATCCCTTAAACAAAGAATCAATAATTTAGTTATGAAAACGATCGCAGAAAACACCGAGCGAAATAGCAAAACACCAAACGGCTATGATGATAGTGATGCATGGAAAGGAAAAGTGTTAAACAATATCAAAGCAATAGTAACAAATATTAAAGAATGTACTAATATTGTCGATAAAATTTTGGCACGAAAGTCAGCTATTGGTATAGATTTTGAAGGTGTATCTATTGGAGCCAGCGGTCAATTAAGTTTAATGCAAGTGGTAACTGATGATGGATTATGTTTTATATTTGATTTAATTGCTTGTCCACAATTAATTAAAAGTGGTGGATTACAAAGTTTACTAGAAAGTGAAGAAATACTTAAGGTTAGTAAAATAAATCTATTACTTAGTTAACGTCAACTCTTTTAATACAATATTATCTAATTAAGTATTAACTACTTAACAAAATAAAATTTGGTATATGTTATGACTTATAAGTTTTTCTTTATAATCAGTTTATAAAAAAAATATCTAGACTATATTATTGATAATATAAAAACTTATGTTTTTACAAGTTGCTTAATAATGATATACTATTTTGATTATTGCTATACCTTCACTAATATATATTACTGGTATGTTTCTGTCATGTTTTATGATAATATATATCTTGTAAAGTTTTATAAATAATTATTTTTCAGAATACTATAGGCATACAAGTTATAGTATTAAAGATTCATTATGTTCTAAGACAGTGTAAATTATATTATTTATATGTCCATAATGTTATAAAATTATGAAGTTCTAAAACAAAACATACTCATAATTTTATAAAGTAATTCTTTATCACGTATAAAATACACAAAATACACTATTAATTTCTCAAATAAACTTTTTAATAGAATATAATAAATCATTAATGTATCTGGATTTTTTATAGAACATTATTTTATTTTCCATGCAACCACTTATAATTAATAAATTAGGAGAACTAAATATCAAATAATAAATTTAATAAATTAGGTTTTATTGATCCTTCTCAATGGTCTGACTGAATTTATATCACCAGAATATAGCAATATGTATAATGTATATTGTCACTTGAAGGTAACTGGTGATAAAATATTTCATTGAGTGGAGTGTCTTATAATGGTAATGAAAGAAGTTATGTATATCCTAATAATAAAATTGTGGTTCTAACTCAATATTTCTTCATTTATACATTCTAACTTTTTTATGTTTACAAAATATATGCAATTATTAATAACTAAGTCTATACCTATAGTAGTAAAAAATATTTACCTATTACTACTATTTCTTATTATTAGCCATTTCTTTTTTTTCTTATCTTAAATTAGGTATTTAATGCATCTGATAGGAATACTTAAAGATAGTAAAGACAATAGAGTACCTTGGAAATTATTTTATTATCAATTGAATAACCAATTATAAAGGGAATAACTTAAAAGCTTTCTAAGTATTTAAATAAAATTACTTAGGTACAGTTAGGTGGGATAGGATTACTTATATTATCATTTTTTTATTCAATTATACTTACACATCTATATATTTTGTGTAAAGTAAAAAGCTACGTGGCAGTCAAGTCTACTGCTGATACATAATAAAATTTTAATCTAACCCTTTTTTGTATTTTAATGAGTATAAAAATATGAAACATATTACCTAATTTTATTAAGTTAATAGTAACTTTCTTTATAAACTTATAATTTATCCATGTGGAGCATGTTAAGTTATATAAAATATCTTAATTGTTTCAAATTACTTTTTGAATTTTATTTAATTTAAAAATAGCTATAGATGACAATGGTTTGAAGCAAACTTAACTTCATAGTTATATTTTTGTGTATAGCAAGTACTCTATTCACCTTAGTAGCATTAATACATTTTGTATTTATTTGTTTATTTAAGTTTATATTTTATAACATAAGTATACAAGATTATTTGGGAGTTTTTGTTAAATATTGATATTTATTTTAAAATATTTCAAATACATAATAGTTTTAAATGCATTGATCATTTTTTTAAATTTAAAAAAAAAAATATATTTTTATTAGAAAACAACATTTTATAAAATGCATTTATTAAATTAATTTTGAAGTTATTTTATATCTAAGATTAATTTTATTATACTTTTATGGCTTTTTACTTAAAAAAAATATATTTTATCATTCATAAACCAAAAATTTCAAATATATCTAGGATTAAGTAGTAGTTTTTTTAATTACAAAAAAATAATTTCGTTTTTTTTTGGTTTTTCTTGATACTTTAAAAAGTATTGTGTACTTTTTACTTTTAACCTCTTCAAGTATTAACTAAATCAAGTTGGCTACCATAAACTACAGTCGAAATTTAATATTAGAGCATAATTAATATTACTGTTCCATAAACAAGAAATAACAGACAAATAACATTAAGTTATTGTGTTATCATTACGTTCATTTTAGAATCTAAAATGGCGTATTATTTAAATTGGGATTTTAAATTAAAACAATATTAATCTATTTATTTTTTATTTATCATGGAATTGACAAAATTTGCTATAGTTATATTTCAATTCGTTTAGTTCTAAACACCTAAATATCTATAATGATTGGATTATAGTTTCAATCATCGTACTTTCTACCAAGTGTGATTTTAATGGAAATACGTTTCTTGTACTTGTATACATCTATCGTGCTGCTGTAGAGTGTAGAGTAGGTTGGAGAAATGTTATGAAACTGTTATTATGTCCTGCTATATCGAATGGGTGTGTAATGTGTATACATATATCATAGTATTATTATTCGCGTGGTAGGTATGTGCGGAAGTTGTCCAGTTAAGTCGCGCGGCAAACACCCGTGCTCGCACTCTAAAGCGGGGATCGGTAAAAATGTATGTGATAACTTTGTCGAGGTCATTGACGACTGACAGGCCAAAACGGCATTCTTATTAGTTATTATTCAGTGGGAATGATAATTATTGTTAATGAAAACAATCGACTTGATTACGAAAACATCGACAACAAACGGTATAAACGTAGAGTAGGACGTGTGACGCGTCTAGGGTACTCGAGTTCTTATACATATATATATATATATATGTGGCTTGAGTGTGTGGGTTATGATGTTACGTGTGCTGACTTTAGATTACAAAATGTATAAACTATTCAAATTTCAAACAATATGCTTTAGACTATTAGACCTCAGGTACTCCGAAAATTAAACAACTCTTTTAGTATGTAGTAATTATCTAGAAAAATCTCAAAATACTAAAATACTATTATTATTAGAAAATCAAATTACTTTAGTTGAAGACTAACTCCTTAATAAAATGTGAGAAAATTAAATTAAATTAATTTATTAAACCTAATAGTTATAATTTATAGGTAGTAAGTACCCTATAAACACAATTAATATTGTATATTATTTTTAACATAACGTTCAGAATAATGTTAATTATATAATTTTTTAATTTACCTTATGATAATACCAACAGTAAAATATGTAAAAGTAAACATTTTTCTACTTATCTGATGTGTTATGTTTTAAACTAACAAATTATAAATAATTTATCTTATACGTGTGCTTATGCCTTATGTTGGTTAAATATACATGCTCCCTTCGAAATCCCATGTAAGATTCCTTTGAGATTACATCTGGGACCAATAATAATTCTTATATTTAAAAATAAACAAGTTTAAAATATTTTTCGTATTTGTGCTCTTTGTATCCTAGCAATTTAAAAAGTTTAATTATCACTCACTTTTTAATAATGTTAAACAAGTTAATATATACTTATAATATATAATTTCTATTTTTAAATTAAAAATTTTATTTTTGTGTATTCTTCAATAAAGTTGATACAATTTTAAACGTTTTCTTAGAACTTTTGTCAAATTAAAATAATTGTATACAGTGTGTAAAAACGCCAATAATTGAAGATACTCAATATCCATTTACGCAGCCATGCAATTTGTTATTGTTTGTTAGATTTGTATATATGTGTGTGTGTGTGTGTATTATTATTTTTTAACGGCAATATCCTTTTTTGACTACGAATTATTTTTCTTATGAATTTCAGTGATTTAGTTTTTCTAATCCAAAATTATCTGACTTAAAGGAATTTAAATGCATTTGGTATTATTTTTAACACTGTAATTATTTCTTTCACTATTTGAATATTTTTAAACCCATAAGTTGGTTCAACCACCAAATATAGTTTCTTTCATATTTTATTTGATAATAACTTTTAACTTGTGTATTTTGCGTATCGATAATAGAATTCAGAAAATATGTCGATTTATCAGTTTTACTTGAATAAATAGGATTAGCAAAATAGCTAGGTTCATAAGTATGCAATTAATTTATTTATTTTATTCCTTTTGAAGTTTCGCTGTGTTTTTAATACGTGTTACAGAAAAATAAGTGATTAAATTACTATTTAAGAACAAAAATTGAAATTTATTTAAGAACATTAAAATGTGTATTACCAAGTAAAATTAATCCTAATAATAATTCAAATAAATGTTGATATTCAATTTTTAATTTTTTTTTATATATTTTAAACACTACAAACATGAAATTAAAGATAAAATCTTAAATATTATTTTAAATTCATTCCCAATCTAAGTATTTTCAAAACCGAAAATTTTTAATATTAAAATGTTAACAAAATAAAAATATCTTTCTGTTGGAAAATGATTATCCTCTATGAGTTATTTAAAATTTATTCGAATCTTGTATAAATAAATATTGATACTACGTTGTTTTACCGAAAATATGCCCACACAGATAAAATATAAGCCACGTAAACACGCCACTTTTCTTTAATGTGTACTGCCTACTAGTCTGAAAGATATTTTTGTCATGGGACATTGAATAAGCTCCGAAAAACTATTTTGTACTTCACACTCAAAATCTGCTCCGTTCGTACAAAAGGATCATAAATCAAAAAAATCATATTTGTTTATATCTTTATGTAATATAGTATTGGCCTGGCTTTGCGCATTTATGATTAAATTAAGTTGATGGAATAATATTTATTTTTTCTCTGTAATTGCAAATTTTTTATAATATATTTAAATAAAATCTCGATACTTATACAATCTACATAAAATATAAATATAAAATAAGTAGTATAATAAAAAATGTGATTTAAATCACAAGAGGGGAACATTGTTCATTTGCAGTGCTACAACTATCCTAAGTTTTAAGATTAAAGTATGATTTTAATAATTTATAAATTATAATTAATAAGAGTTATAATACTTGTTTTGCTGGTTAACAAACATAAGTACCTGTTTTTTATTAATTTTAATTTTAACCTATACGCGTGTATTACGTGGTTTAAAAATTGATATAAATTAGGAGTTTTATAGATAGTTGCTTTAAAAAATTATTAGTTAATTAAAAATCTTTTACAAAATTATAAATATATTATTTTCAGTATTTTTATGTATTTACAGGTGATCAATGATTGTCGAAATGAAAGCTTAAACCTGTACAACCAGTTTGGCATTGCAATGAAAAACGTGTTCGATATTCAGGTAAGTTTACCTGAAGTATCTAGTACTTAGTAGTTTTATTATTGAAAAAAATAATGTATAAGTTTAATTAAAGTAGAGTTGTGTGTTGTCGTAGCATATAAACTATAAACTATCATTTACTTATGTCAATTTAACCACTCCTAGTCTTATTTATTTTGTTCTATTCCTGTACAATATTTTTATGGCACAAAATAAATGAAATAGTTTCATTTATTGTGTGCAACCTGTAACAGTTTTTTGTTTCGTGTGGTATAATAAATGAGTGTTTAAATTGTATTATGTTCACGAATATTCGTGACTAAATTTGATTTGTGCAAATATTGGTATAGTTATGATTGCCACGAAATTCAAATATTTTGTTAAATTGTCGTTCGAACCGTCTAGAAAAAAATGAATTCATAAAATAGAATTTCTGAACCTCAATTTAGTGTAATTACTAATTAGTAATTAACTACAATTTTAAATGATTATCACTTGTGATTGGAAGCGAATTTGTGGGAATTTGCATATTTATACCTTTCTTTTAAGCAAGTCTGATTTAGATATATTTATCATCAAAAATCATTAAATTAATATTTTTGTTTTAGTGGTATGTTATGATTTTAATTTTTAATTACATATAATATATCAGTGTACCATAATTCAATATTCATAATAAATCTGAAAAATTTCTGATGCGCTTTTGTTTTAAATCTTATTATTGATATTAATTTATTTGTTTTTGAATATGTAATCAATTTCTATTTATTTTTTTTCGCCATAATATAAATAAATTAATATAATATATGAGTATATGACATGTTATTCAATTTTAGGCCGCTATTGCTATTATTCAATTTCAAGAAACTGGACAACCGGTGTACAAGGCAAAAAATTTTAGTCTAAATGCCATATGTGAAAAGTATGATTTACCAATAAACTCATCTAAGGATCAATTGAGAACTTTAAATAAAAAAGATCAAAGGTATTGGCTACGAAGGCCTTTATCTAAAGATATGCTTGCCTATGCTGCTAGTGACGTACTAACTCTCATGCCTAAATTATATAAAACTATATCTGCGTAAGTATTCCATGTATAGTTAACATTATTTTTAAACAAATTATTTAAATAATGAATACCTACATAATTTAATGATAGTATTTGTAGGGTGCATTATACACAGGGAGTTTATAATATTATATGGTTTCTTATATTAAAAAATTGACCTGACACACTGTCATTATAGTTTCTCATAGTATAATGTATAATATGCCTTGTAATTATAAATAAATATTATAGCTATTAGAAATATTCATGTTCAAGTATTGAAATTATGATCTATCACTATTTAAAATTTTTATTTATTAATTTATTATAGTTGATTATAAAACTATGATTATAGTTTGGTAATCAATAATTAAATATATTCATTAATAATATTATAAAAATATTTTTGTTTTTTAACAAATCACTTATCAATTTTAATATTAACTCAATAAATAAACCTAATTCTATCATTTTTAAACTTCTAGTGCTCTATAACTAGCTTAATGATTATTATGTTAATAATCTAACAACTTCTAAGAATATATAAAATCCTTAATTCATTAGTTGAATTTGATGAAAAATTAATTTGGCTGTTTGGTTAATATTTGATATTTGAATTGTATTCAGATTCCTGTTCTTATTAGTGTTATAACGTATAATGTATAATGTTTAATCAATTTTGTGCTAGTAATTAAATAAGTTTCCCACTATGAGATTTGTATGTTTTATTTTTTTAAATGACTGGTTTACTTAAATTAATTTAACTTTTTTTTTTTATTGTTTTTTAGTCAAATTCATCCGTCCAATACTAAATTACTTGAAGAGTTATGTGAAGAACAAGCATTTTTATACATTGTCCCAGATAATGTTCAAAAGCGTAAGCACCAACGTAAAATTGATAATGAATTACAAGTTCTTAAAGAAAAATTGTCTTCTGATAATGGAAAAAATGTCGTTCTTAGTAATAGAGAATTGAGATTATTAAGGTATTAATATAAATTAAATGCGTTTAATTTAAATATTTTTTAAATCTTAACTATGATTGTAGGCACTTGGAATTAACTGATGAAGATAAAGAAAAGTTAAAAGGATCCATGAAGGTTGCAAAAAAGTTAGAAAAAATGGAAGGAAAAAATATGTAAGAAGTATAAATAATTTAATTGATCAATTATAATATATTATATAATGTTTTATAGGAAATATAATGGAGAGGAATGTGATTCCAACGAATTCCTCAGTTTAGACAGTAATATTAGTGGCAAATCAACATCATCAGATAATTCTGCATCAGGTAAATATTAATGCATCTTTTTTTAATTTTTGCTTTGTTCTATTATTTATTAATAGCCATCAATGTTTTAATAAGGAGAATTTCAATCTATTGTATCTGAACAACCACCAAGTCTTACTGAATCTATGCAAATGATGGATGATGTATTATCAGATAAACTTATGGATCGTTTGGAAAAAATTGAACGTTTAGAGTCATTGTTGACTATGGCTATGGATGCAGAACCAGACCAAACAGATAGTTTAGATACTTCACCTATGAGTTGCAAGTGCACATGCCATTTATTTGCTACTGAAACCGTTGATATGTCCACACAAACTGAACCACTATAATCTATTATTGTTGGAAATGAATGTGAAATACTTTGGGTTTATTATTAAGATGTTTAAACCTTATACCCGGCCATGGCCTTTGAGTCTAAATATTTAGTTTACGACCAGGTTTCATATTACTTTTGATTAAAGTAAAAAGTGGTATTGGAAAATCTGGATCCGTGTATATAATATATATAAAGAAACTAATTAACAGGGTTGAGTCTGTACAATATCCGTCCATAATATTATACCTGTTATATTTTGATTAACGATATAGCATAGGTTATAAATAATATTATTCAAAATTTGACAGCAATGAAAATACAAAACCGCAGACGGTTAGACAAATTAGACTGAAAAAATTATATTTTTATTAAATTTGCGCTAGCATCACAACGTGCCTATGTAGATTTTAGATAAGTTAATTATAGTTGAATTTGTTTGCTCAAACAGTATTAACCTAAATGATAGTATTGCATTGTGAAGTCCATACGTAACATAGTTTAAACTAATGAACTACTATCATGAAGTAGAAGGTATGTGTATTCAGTGGCGGATCCTAGACCCCCCCCTCAAATTAAATAAAAAAGATATTATTGGGCCAAGCTTTTGCTTATTTTTATCTGATGACCTTTTTTTGCTGTTTATGCGCCCTCCCCCCATGGAAAATTTCTGGATCCGCTTCTGTGTGTGTTACTGTTAGGGATTTAAAAAATATCTGTTTAAAAGTAGATGTTTTGCTATATACTTATTTAACTTGAGTATCCCAAGCATGTAAGCCATACTTTTTTTTCTGAAAGGAGGAATCATAACAAATAATAAATTATAAATTAAAAATGATTTTGTATGATGTGAATGGGAGGGTTCTAACATCTATTTCCCTCTGTAAATGTGCCTGGCGTGTAATGTGGTAGATGGACATTTTCTTCCGACCATTTTTAGTTCTAAGAGACATTTCCTCTTCTTGTATATCTTACACATAGTTGTTTATGATTGTATAAATTTGGCAATTCACTATTATCTATCTTATAGTTCTTTATGATAATTACTGTTTATATGATTAGGATTGACTGTGAGATATGCATATAAATACTTGATAAGTGATATAAAATAATTTACAATTTTACACTGAGACTATCCTAATTACTGTTGAGTACCTATTAAGTGAATGTGTAGTTGTTTGAAGAAGTATACAGTGGTGCCATGATAAACTATGATAGTATATTGGATTTAATTATACAAGTTATAGATATTTGGATAAAAGCACACATGCAGTTTGCCCTATATTTTAGTTCCATACCTATTTATTTATAATTTTTTTTTCACTTGGCAGTTATGTATTCTATTATTAGTCTATAATTTTAATGTATTTAAACAATTTTAAAATTAAGTGAGAAAATGTCCTACATTCGTCTGGTATAATCCTATTTGTCTTCCTTGAGTGGTGTTATTGTACATTGTTAACAATAGTCTTAATATTTATGTATCAGTGTTGATAATGTTACTAAGTATTATTATTTTATTATCGTTAGAAAAATATTAAAATGTAACGTAAAGAAAATTGGTTGTATTAAAATGTATACCTACTCTTACAAGTTTAAATTGATAATAAATGTGTTATTTATTTATTTACTAACAAGAGTTATAAAAATAAAATGTATATTTGACAAAAAAGCAAAATAAATTGAGTGTATTTTTCTTAAAAAAAATGTTTTAATCCCAATAATATTGTCTATGCTATGTAATTGCTGTACTGCTATATATTTAATCACATAATTTTTTTGTTGGTTTTTTAAGTTTACAATTAAAATTTATATTATTTGAAAAATGAACACTCCGAAAGCATTCCCAGAATAAAGTTTTTTCCGTCTATGATAGCCTATTAGTGTATAAAAAAAGTTGCTGGTATTGTGATGCCTCATCAACTTCAAATTTGTCATTCTTGGTGGTTATAGGTACCTTAAACAGCTTACCCAAGATTGATAATACATATACAGCCCTGCCTACAACCCAAAAGCCGTTCCTCGTGTTTTAATTATTAATATTTAATACCGTCGCATCGGGCGCATTTGTATAAATCGTCATGACACTAAGAGAGGAGGGATTGGAGATTAGAACACATATTTTTAATAACCACAGTGAATACTAAACTATTATATTATTACGCCGTAACAATGGCGTTCAGTAAGTATACATAATAATCATGTTCACGACGTATTGTCATAATATAAAAGGTGCCTACGAGACTAATATAGCTGTTTACGGAAACAATAAACTATACAAAAAGCATCGTGCCTACTTACTAGTTAAATAAAATTTTAAAACAACAACACTAAAAAAAAAGTTATTTGGCATTGCGACTTGCCAGTAGGTCGTAATAATTCATAACGTCATAACGGTTGTCAGTAATAGGTAGGTAGATACTAGATACCAATGTGTATATGAATATAGGTCAAAATATTCATTGGATAAAAAATCCAGTGCTACAAAATCCAATAGATACTTACCGCAAAAATGTTTTAAATTATTTTTAATAACTAATTATACAAAAAAAATATTTCATTTAAAAATAACATGTTTAAAAAAAATTGACAATTGATATATTTTTTCATAGTGTATCTTTTTGCATTAAGTATGATATTTTGATTATCAATATCATGTTTTTAAATTGTGATTTTATAAATAATTATATTTACAGTCGTTTCTAAAGTGAAACGTCTAAACGTTTGTTTATCGTTCCATGTTTTTTTTATCAAATTTAGGTACTTATTGTATACATTAGTATAAATAGTAAACAATTTAAAAAAAAAATTAAAATATATGTATATCTATATTATATTATAAATAAACTATCCAATGGTATAATTTTTGAAACTGCATTTAAGGTAATATTAATTGCTTTTTTGACATCAAAGTTTTCACACAAAATAGTTGAAACTTTTTTAGTTCTACAAATAATTTGTTTTTTTTGTGGTAGATCCACATCCATGAGCGGTAATGCATTCATAGATTTTAATTTACATTTTTTTTCACTTAATAGTATAATTAATATTATTATTATAAACGTTTTATCATACTTAATCAATTGCCTGATAGCCATTCCCTTACTCACCCATAGTAGTTTTGAGGTATGATTGCTTCATAAATGCCTACTTCGATACTCCACTGTCCACGAGTATCCAATATCCAGCTCTTAAGTCATTCCGGTTTCGTCGATTATAATCACTGCAATTTTTATTATTTTTTTTATTTTTTTATGCTTAAATCCAAATTTTCGAATGATAACATGTTACTTAAAATATGGCGATTTAAATTTAAGATAGATTAATACAATTTAATTAGTCAACAAGAAATTTAAAAACGACACTAGTCACTAACACTATAAATCTCACTACTTTTGAAACCCGATGATTTTACAAACTCGGATTTCGGGATCACTATAATCTTTCACATTAAATTAATTCATTTATGATTTATTCTCTTTATAAAATATAGTTAATTATTTTTACCCAGAATTTAGATTTTTCAGTGGTTGAATATTTTGAGCAAAAACCATGTAACCGGTATACCTAAGTAGGTACTACCTAAAGACAGGTATACAACGAACAAAGTTAATTTTAATGTTTGATAAAGATCTACCTACAGACTACCGACAATGAAAATACGTTTTTTCTCTAAAGTTTATGAAGAGCCGTACGATTCGTACGAATACAAATTATACACACAATTCTTGGGAATCCTTTAGCGGAGATTATAAAATGCATAACAATAAAATCTAACAAAATGGCATTCGGACTACGAAATCGTCCGCCGTTGACTGTTTGACCGCCCTTGGCACAGTGTCTACACTCTACACACTACACAAGGTATTTTAGTAACTTAACAATTTACTACACACGTGACACGTCGTAAATATACGTTTCACAAATTTTTATTTCACATATTATGGTTATTCCGAATTGCCGACAGGCGAACGTAAAATATTACTGTAGTCCTGTAGTGGCTTTATCGTACGAAACTAACAAAGTGCGATTTGTCTTTTTTCATTGACATGACGCGTGGGATGTATCTATAGGTACCTACTCAGTGCTTTATGGTATTGTTATTCAGTATTTCTATTGTCGAGAATGGCGCGTGTCAGGTAGGTAAGTACATGCTATTATAATAATAATAATAATACACACCGATATGCTGTCACAGAATAGATTAAAAAATGTGTTATTTTTAAAAAAATGTAAAAACCACATATAAAAATGTTTTAGTCTAATTTAAGATTACATGTTATTTAATGTTATACATTTTATAGGGATTTTAGACACCAAGTTAGGGAAAATATTTGAAAATTGAAGCGGTATATGAATACAAATTTCAATTAACAATGTCAAAGTATAGATTCAAGATACTAAGATAGAAATCTATCTAAGACACTGGCAGTGAAGTGATCTTGTTAGTATTATTTAATTATTTTAACATGGCTAATATATTGATCATGTATATTAATCTATGTTTTATTTCTCAGAATTATTGCACATTCTGCTTCTGCTTCGTCTTTATTCTATCCAAGTGAGATTAACTACCTACTCTTATTTTTACTTAACATGCCATCATATTCCTGTAATAACCTAGCCACTTTATCTTTTTTTTCCAAATTTGACTCACCTGTTTTGACTTTCTCATCATTTCTTCTTATTTCAACACGTCATTTCAACCTATTCTCTTACTTTTAAGTTTTAACCCATATTCTTACAGACTACAGTTAACACTGATTAGCCGGAAACATTGAATTGAGTCCCGCAAATACTTTTGAGCTATCGGAGTTGAGTCGGACCAATATTGTTAGGTTATTCGAGTTGAGTCTTTTTCTTTAATTGAAATAATAACTATAAAGAGTCAATTAATTAAAAAATATTAAAAATAATAATTAATAAAGGTACTTTTTACCTAGAGAATAATTTTTTATCAACAGTTATAGAAAAATACTAAAAAAATCGAAAATTTTTCATACCTATAAATATTTCAAAAATAGTTGAAATTTGTTGAAAATGTTATAATATAAGTATTGAAAATAATAATTTGGAAATTTCAAGTATATACTTATGTATGTTATTTCTTTTAGAAATATAATAGCATATTAAAAAATTTTTAAGGAGTAATAATTATTTTACGGGTAAATATTATCTAAACATACACTTCATTTTCCATTTTCACTCGTTAATAATTTTATAATTAAATAAGTATTAACTAATTGTGTGTCACTGCGGTTATATAGGTAGTTATGACATTTTATCTATACGGACTCAATCCAAACACATAAAAGTATGATGGACTCAATTCAATATCACTGGATTGGCCAACGGGAAGATGGCTGCCACGTTTTTGAATGTTGAGTATCTTCACCGTGTTAAAGTTTATCAGTATCAAGGCCCTGGTACTGCTACAGTGCAATATTCGACTTAAAATAATTCTTGCAATAGACGACATGGTACCTATATGCGGTAAAAGTTGGTGAACATTTTGGAAAAGTTTCAAATTGTCAATTCTTATTTGGGCGGGAACGCACGAACAACATACATGATTGGCTCTTTTACACCATATCTGAAGATTTGGATAAAAAAAAAAACTATTTATTTGGTGGCAATATATTAAATAAAATAATGATGGTACTTAACACTTTTATGAGAAAAAAATATGTTTCAATATTAATTATTAAGGTTGATTTTTACGCAACACTGGTTTTTGAAAAACTGATTATTTTTTTTTATCGTAATATCAACATCAGTGCTTGGTCAAAAGGAAGTCAAGTTAAAAATCAAAGTTTTCGATTTATGGTTTTCAAAGTATAACAAAATGTATTAATTTAATATAAGTAAACACCATTAACATATTTAATGGGCATGTTATGAGGAATTAATTGTGCGTATAATGTATACTCATAGAATATTTAAAAATATAACAAACGAGATCTTGATACATATTTCAGATATGTCCAGAGTACTCCGTGTACTTTAAACTATAAAGATTAATCGATTGATTTGAATCCAAACGCGGTAGTAGGTATTGAGATAATAATTAGTGAAAATTATCTATTTGACAAAAAAATACTATAAAAATATATGTTGAATAGTGGATATTACAAAATACAATTCATTGACAACAATATACACTTAAACAAGTTAAACATAAAATAAAATATATATTTATTATTTCAAAATATTTTTCATATAAATATTATAAAGGATACAAATAACAAATCATATATATTTTTAATTAAAATAATAATTGTATAATGTTTTTCAATTAAAAAAAATAAAATTACTAAAATTGAAAAAAAAAAACTATATTTTTAATAGTTTTTAATTATACTCCTATTATTTAACAAAAAATAATAATAACAGTTTAATTAATATTATTATACGATAATAAATTATAACAATACAACAACTGCAGTTCTATTCATACCTCATAGTAGGTACTAGGTATATGTACCTATAATCATTGATATTATAAAATATTAGGTATAAAATCAATGCTATATAGCACAAACCCCATATTTGGAATATTTATTAATATTAAAATATTATATTAATATCCTACACTATATTATAGGTGTAATATGATATGTACCGTAATATAATATAAAAATAATAATTACGAAAAGACTATATTATTATAGTATATAGAAATTATAGAAATCTCTATAATATTAAAGCCATCACGATGATGATGATAATAATAATAATAATAATAATAATATAATAAGTTTTTAACCTATTGTAATAGCAAATTTCTGCACTAAGCTTACTACAACTGGTGACTGACCGTGGAGATAGCGTCCTCAGACTTAGCAGATCCGTTTCCACTATCGTCCGAATCTTGTATAGTGTGCCCGTTTTTATCACGTATTTTCAATCCTAATTCTTCGCGATACTCTCGGCTAAGGCTCCTGGCCGTTAAACTGTGTATCTTTAAAAAAAGTACAACAATGAAACAAATAACGATAAATTACACGGTGCGTCAATATAATAACAAAATTATTATTTTACACTATAATTATTCAGTAATTTATGCCCCAATTCACCGACAAAAAATAGTTTTAAATGGTTTTTTAACGAATTACCAATTTGTGGACATCTCTGTGAAGGTATAGTAACATTATGTGTTCAATATATAAAATACAATTATATAAACAATAATAATAAGGTATAAGCAACCGTAATTTTTGAAGTTATCTTAACACGAATATATACCATAAGTAGTACTAGAAGTTGATGAAAAAAAATTAACTTGAATTAATTAAGTTAAGTTAACGTTAAGAATATTAGCTTGATAATTAATAAATAATACATTTAGTATATAAAATCTTTGTATAATACAAAGTAGCGTGATGTGACGAAAAAAAATGAATTTATAAGTTTTTAATTTCAGCTATTCGTATTTGAAATTTTGAATGCACCTGGTTTTAAATAAAAAGAGGTAAACATTGAAAATCGGAGAGTTTATTTACGTGTGGAGAGGGGTTAACGTTTATGTCAAAGGCATTTTTTGCCATCCCCATGACCACAAATAATATACGATAAATAATCATATAAATATTTGTATAAATTAATACTTAGTTGGTGAAAACAATTTTGTGGGTGGGATGTATCCGATGTAGAGATATATTGTGGCCCCACGGTGATCCCTTATGATTCCTCCCCACTCACTGCTATCAATATTTATTTAAAAGTGCGCATGTAGGTGTAATACAAAATATGTATAATGTATATGTGAAGTGTAATAAGTGGATTTCGGAGTCAACGATAGACCTTGAACGACGTATAACATCCATACATAATACCTACAATGTAATATACCTTCTATAATATCATTATTTTATTATCCACCGGCCGCGCCCAGTGTTAAATTGCATATATTTTCATACACAAATCAGTTGTCTATTCGTCTTATTAGTGTCTTTTATACCGAATTGCTCTCATGTAATAACTGTAATACACTACATCTATTATAATATGACTTATTATTTTTTATAATACTAAAAAACCTATTTATACGAACTACCTATGATTACTTATTTAGATTTGTTACAAAAATATTGAGAACAGCGTTATCCGTGTTGTGTTGGATTAATATTTCAATCTTACAGACAATATATATTTTTTTCAAGAAAAATCACCCGATTAAAATTCATGTAAAATTACACTAAAATATCACAATTTAAAGAAAAAACTTTTGGACAGGATACGGATAAAATCGTTTTGATAGTTTTTATTATAGATTTTTTAGTTCTAATATAATTTCAGCTGTGTAAATACCACTATGTTAGAAGTGTACGAAGGACAATTTTGACCATACCACAGATTGTGTGCGAAGACTTAGTATCAGACGATTTTGTTACTACTAATTGTTTGGTTAAGTCGAGGCTTCAGAAATAGGAGAGGTATATTATATAATAATGGTGAGTTTTATTTTAATACACCACCTGATTTGTTATTGGAGCGTATCCATATAGTGATGTTGTCGAAAAATTATTTTTTGTTGTTTTAACATATCACACATAATATTATGATTTTACGAATTTTGGAAGTTTGTAATCGCATCCTTGTATAATAGTTGAAAATGGTAGTAGTTAAACGTTTGACTAATGTACGGCTACACAACGGTGTAGGTATATTAATTTAGTTACAGAACTATATGTTTGCTGGTGTGTATTTATTTGTATATAGTACCTATTAAAGTGATTTAGCAGTGACGTTTTGAATTGTTTCGAATTTAATTTTTCTTACACTTTCAACATTATTATATTTTGTCGTAATTTCAATTTACTAGTATGTTATCTGCAGAACTTTCTAATATTGCAATGAAATATCAGATGCAACATAATATGTATAAAATATAATATCCAATTATTATACCGAAAAAATGTTCATATACGATAACGATATAATTTTATTTATGTACAACGCGTAAAAACAATACTCATAACCGAAATCACATGGTTAGATTTTAATTCGTAGGTACTATAGAATGTCTACTACTATATTATTACTGTCTAGCGTTTTCATATTTTACACAATATACTTTCTAAACGTGTACTTTTCACAATAGTTCGAATTCCCAACAGATACCCGATAATAAATAAATAAATAGGCACATTCGTTCATACATTTTATTATACTAGATATTGATTTAAAAATTTAAAAAAAAAGTATTTATGTCTTACGATAAAATAAAATGTTATCATTCAATTCCACATAAGTAAAAGTATCTACTACATGTTACCTATCCACATAGTTTAATCATCGATACGGATTCTATTCATTTTGTGTGTGCACAGCATAAATACCTTTCTATAGTTTAAAGGTATGTATTTTTTGTAACGGTCGTTTATTAATTTATTAGTTATTACACTCGAGGACACGTTCACTGAATCGTGCACTGAAAATAATAAAAAACTAATTGTTACAACACATCATTATACATATGTATATAAACATAAAAATATATAACAATAATATATTTTAATTTTGAACTGTAAAGAATATAGTTTTTTGATAAACCAGAAATTATAATATAAAAACAACACGAGCAAGTATATCTACTTGGTTGATTTTTTTTTTTATAAGCGCTGTCATTTAAATACATTTCTACTTATAATATACCTATTATATAACTTATACTGTATATTATATTTGAAAACTAAAAATTAATGTTAAATATCATCGCGACGAGAAAGCTCAAAAGTGTTGTTGTAACTATATTATTTTAATATTATCAATAATAAAGTCAATAACAATAATCAGCGTTTTGCTGAATGTACAATATGTTTATAATATTATGTTATACAACTTTAACTATATTGCTGTATTTAAAAATATATGAGAATTTAATACATTTACATGACATATTTTTTTTAGTTTTTTGATATGTTGTTATCGTACTAAAATAAAAATACATATAGGCGCAGATAATAATATTATAATACAGAATAATATCGATAATTACACATATTACTATTGTACACAAGTACTAGAACTTACACCGAATCAGTCACTATCAATCTGCCTATATTTATATACATTATACATATATTATATACATATATACACGCACACTAAACATTTACTACAAATCAAATCTCCTTTGGAGTCGGTACACCTTCGCACCGTAACACCCAGGTAGTTTACTTACTTGTTTGCTCGAGTTCTTGCATGTGTTTTCAGCGTTCTAAAAGTGTAAAAAACATTCTAAGTTAAATTTTGAAAAATTGTATTATGATTTATAAATTATAGTAATATATTATAAGCGCATATCCAATAAATAAGGACAAAAGAATGGGATCTAAGAGCAAAAAGTAACTTCACCATTCTCCATCCACCAACAAAACTGAATCGACTAAGGAAAATAAGTGCGAAACTCCTAAAAAACATGTATTTTCTTAGTTAATAATATTTTTTACTATTCATATAAAATGGTATATTTATTTCGATATTAAAAAGATTTTTTGAACAAAAATGATGGAAATGTTCATCTTTTATTACGTTTCGTGTGTCGACTATGGAAGATTAGTATTGTCAAAAGATTTCTCCTTCATCGTGAAAAATCAAATATACCTGAGTAATAATAACTAATAAGTATCTAGTTGTTTGTTTTTTATTCTATAGTGAGTATTTAAATAGTTTTTATACGTGGAAATTATCGAGAAAAATGTATTCAATCATATACATATTGTTAGTTTCCTAATAGTAATTATTCATTTATTATATAATACATAATTTCGGTTGCACTTACGTTAGACGAAAATTGTTTAGCTAATTCTCTGACCGAAGGCATACAGTGGTGTACGTCGTCAGCCGATTCCGCGATTGAATTCTTACGAATACTGACTCCGCTCTCCCGTCGGTCCGTCCACGAGCACAGCTGGACCAGTTTGTCTTGGCGCTGCGGACCGCCGTAAGTGCCAAATGCCGCGGACGAGTCGCCACTGGACGGCGATTGCGGGGTGATTCGCGTGGAGTCTTGCAGTGCGCCGCTGGTTCGCCGCGCGTCACCGTCGTATTGGTCTCCACCGATTTGTACTACCAGTTTGGATACCTTAGTCTGACACACAACACACATCGCGGGCACGTGTTTACGCATCATTACAATATAATAAATTCAATAGTCGTGAAATTGGAATTTGTTTCGGCGTTAAGGCCGAGAAGCATTGAGTTTACCAGAATAGAGACCTAGGAACGTAGATGGCCCCCACGATAAAAGAAATATACAGTCGGATTCTATATCAGATATTTTAACATAGCTCGATTCATCGAAGTATCAATATTAATAGGTAGTTCAATAAAATAATACGAGTATTGAATTCAAACTAAAATACTATAAATCAAAAAATGATTTGTGTATTAAAAAAGGTATATAAATCAACCAACGGATACGTATGTTTATATGCTATTGATTGATGATGAAATGGCATTTTTGCAAGAGTAGCTTATCACATAAGTTCCTCATTTAATTTCAGGTTTTATCGCAGAGATAAAATTTCGAGAGTGCTGAGTTAATAAAACATTCGTTTAGGTAAAGTCCAACTCAGTATTGTAAAATTTAAAATTTTAATATAACTACCGAAAACCTAAAAATTCATTACAAATAAATTACATAAATGAGCATATAATTTAAAATGTAGTTTTCATATTATAGTAGGTAAGATTATCGAATGGCTATTAAATAAAACGATTATGTAAACAATAGAGGAATTGATCACTATAGAGTTTAGATGAATGCCAAAAATTCAAAAAAATCAATACACTTTGCGTGTATTAAATTATTATTATTATTATTATTATTATTATTATTTGTACTTAATTATGATAATATTTTTTTCAATTTATTTATTATAAGCTGTGAAGTATTATTTCGGTGAATAAATTTTTAAAAACAAACGTAGGATCTTCACGGTGGTTCTCCAAGTAGATCAACTAACGCAAATAAAAACTAAAGTAAGATTTGACAAATAACACATTTTATTTGAAATAGTATAGTAAAAAAACAATATCATATTAAATGGTAACTTATTTCGATTTTTTACCTACAAAAAAATATCACATAAAGCCAAAGTTTTCAATTTTGGACCATTTACCTACCAATCATCATAAAGAATAAAATTAGTATGAATAATATACAAAACGTCAACATATTTTATATGGCACGTTTAGTTATTATAGGCATGGATCAAATTGTCTGGTAACGTCCTCACTGTAAATGGGATTTTTAACAAAGTTGTTTGTCCCTGTTTTGTTCCTAAACACGGTTCTAGGCAAAGTTCCGTACACTATTGATTTTTCCAAAGTACTGACATCGCCAACACTAACCTGTTTTTGTCTAGTTTTCAATTCCCCAGACTGATTGATGTAGTAATCTCGACCATACCTGAATGAAACCAATTTGAGATGATTTAATTTTATAATATTCTAGGACATTGTATCTATATACTCGTATACAATAAAATAAAACTTCACTAAATAAAATAGAAATAGCAGCGTCTATAGGTTGATATTATAATTTAAACATTTTAAACTTCTATGATTAAATCTGAAGTTAAGTTTATACGTATTATTAAAACACTAAATAGTATGATATATTGTTAATCACAGTTACTTTAACATTAAGCAATATTTAATAGATTAAAAAAGGACTTGCATTATCTCAAAAATATTCACTTTCTCAAGTTTAATACTAGGCGATTTTAAAGCTCTAATGATTTATCCATACATTGGACATAATAATTTCGAATTTGCTTAGTGAAATTTTACAATATAAATATAATGTTGTTAAGATAAACGAATACAGTATGGTAGTATATGGTAAGTATCAATATGTGATATTTTAATTATTAATAATTTATTTTTATTGGACTAGCGAATGATAATTACCGCTGCGTATCCGGCAACGAGGGGCTGCAGACTATTTTCAAAAGACCAGCTGAGTCGTTCCCATTAATTAAATTCCTGCAAAAAATGGTAGGTATGCGATTGATAATATTATAAAACCAACTGTCGAAAGAAAACCAAATAATTTAGATACAACTAAAATTATTTGTTTATTAAAAATAAAAATAAAGATACTCACAGTGACGCTTCGCTGCTGCTTCTGCTGCCGAATAATGACTTGTACTTGCGCTTTTCGATGTTTTCAGCGGAGTACGGATTGTTTGTCAGTGGCACTGCTTTTTCCCACTTGGAATGTTCTCGTTCTGCTATCGTACCTGTCGATTAAAATGAAAGTACAATATCCCTTCTGTTTAACGATTTACCCGTTCTGATACAATGACCTACGAGACGTATTATAATTATGTAATATACCGGCAGGGCTCCGAGCCCAGAGCTAGAAGACTTTACAGACAAATCATTAAAACATATACTTAAAACGATGAAATAATATACAATTAAATATGCACCATTAATAATATATGAAATTAAGTATGATTTAAAAAGTCTTTTAATCTTCTCAGTTTTCAAAATAGTTAATTAATTGTACACAAAATTTGATTGTTTTTTTTTTTTAACGTTATTTAAAATATTTAATAAAAACAATAAATCCTTATGAAAAAAAATTACCATGAAAATTTATCTATTAAATATTTTGAAATTCGAAATTCAGACATCAAGAAATACATTTGTACCAGATTCCTTCTATTTATTTATTTTATAAATTAATTTGCAAAATATACATGAATTCTTGACTCAGGAGTTTATTAACATAGATGCAACTAGAGCTCTAATTCTGGGGAGTTAATTTTATAAATGAGATAGAGACCTACAGGGTTTTCAGCCCCCACATCACTAACATATTAACAGTACTACAAATCCGTAATAATATAGCAGAAGTTAATAGAATATTTTTTTACAATTTTTAGTAAAATAAAAATTACAAATGATATGTTTATTAACCAAAATCTAACAAAAAATAAAAAGTATTTTTTATAACTATAGAAATAATAAACAAGTAAAAGGATTTTAATATCTATTGTAAATACTTAAATTATATTTTATCAACAGTTAATATATTAACTTCTATAATCCTACCACAGAAATAATGTAAAAAGAAATATTAATTAAAATAAATTTATATAAAAACTTAATACATTAAAAAATCTATACCTACATAATTTATATTTGATTTTTAATTGTTTATTTTTAGTACCGACTATAAATTTCTAAAATATTATCAGTACCTATTTTTAAATTTAATAAATACTTCTAAAAAAAAATTATTCGATTCCTGCAAATAATTTATTTATTTTCTTAAAATTTTACAACACTATTATTCATTTGTATTAATGTTAAAATCAATAAAATGATAAGAACAAATCTTTTCTATTTTATTATAATTGATTATAATTATTATTATTTATTAAAATAATATTAAGTAAACAACCTTAAAAATTGATTTTATTATTCTAAAATATGTTTAAAAACCGGAGGAGGGTTATAGATAAAATTGGGTGACTGCACCCCCTATCACCCCTAATTGCACCTATGCACGTATATAATAATTGTATCATACCTGGCCTAGGAGGTAATGATTCGTCTTGTGCAACGTTCACTTCCTCGGATGAAACTGAATTAACTTCACTATCGGTGTTATTTGACATTAAACTGGACCTGTAAACGACGCATAAACATGATAACTAAACAAACGCTTAACTAAAATATGTACCACACACCTAACACAAAACTGAATAGTACATATAAACATAATATTATAGTATATAAGAAAACCAGACACAAATTAACATGTTTCGCATTACCTTGGCCTAGGCACTGGTTTTTCGATGATTTCTATAGATTGATCAAAATCTCTTTGATGGTCCATTGAACCTTGGCCTATAAGTGTATAAAAATTACAACAAATTATTGTCTATTTATTAAATTATATTATGTAGACTTCATGACCACGCGATGTGATATCTAAAATTTATATATTTTGATATCTAAAACGGCTTACCCGAATCTACTTGGGAAAGCGCGACGTGCTTGTTACAAGCCTCCACTATGGGATCCCAATTGAGTGGATTGTCTTCTTCGCTGCTAGGGCCTTCAAACAGTAAAATTCCACCATCTGTAGAGTTCGTGTCGACGTCCGAATGTTTCGTCTGCAACGTCTCTGATTCGAAATCAGCTATTACGAAAGCATAAGACACGTTCATTAAATAAGATCAAAAGCCTTGGTATGAATTAAATACATATATAGTGATAAAAATAAAAACGAGGTATGAGATAATAATGAATTATAATTAAGTTACAGAGTTCTTCGAGTAGTTCGTCTAGTGCTGAATTTGAGTAGTCGGACAATTCGGACGTTTCGTCGGCATCACGATCGCCTATTAGCGGCCTGGTGACTTCAGATGGGTTCGGCACCAACATTGGAACGGGAACGGGATGATGATGATAATTGTTGGAACCGGAAATCCGATTAAACTTTTTTTTTTGAAACAGCCAGTTGTCTTCCCACGAGTCCACCGTAGCACTTAACCCTTGATCGTCAGGATCGATGGTACTACCGTCTGAAAAATTTGATAGGTAGGTATTCGTTAAATACAATTGACGAATGCATCATAATATGTTGGTATTCCACTACGGTACTTAACAAAAACCTAGACCTAAAAATTAAGTTGAGTTAATTATATATTGGGTATATTTTAAGGTCTCACGAAAACAATCGTTTCGTATATATTCGTAATTATGGGCCCAAAGTATTTACTATTGTAGATTGGTGTAGTGAATAGCTATAAAATACATAAAATAACAAACAAACAAGTTTTATATAAATAAGTATAGAACAAATAAAATCATAGTAATAATATATATATGCAATATACACTAATAAACACACTGTGTTATAAGAGTAGAATCCTGATCGCGACGTTGAATCGTCGGCAGAAGTGAAAGCTATGTAAAAAATTACACATGAATATGCACAGAAATCAATTTTAATACGTAATAGTGGTCAATCTAAATTTATCTATGTAGAATATGTAGATAGGTACGTGATAATAAAAGTATTATAATATTTTATCAACACTTTTCAACAGTAATCTAAAACGTATCCTACAATAAATTAACGACCATATTTTATAATAGTATATTTAAAAAAAAAATTAGATATAACTTTGGTATATAATATATATCATTATTCATTATTATAAATTTATCGTCAAAACGTAAAAACGTGTCATTTGCTTGTGCGCACATATTTTATGGCTAAACACTCAGAATAACTGAAATATTCACGATAAGAAAAACGTCAGGAATATTTCTTTTTGAGGTTTTGTAATATAATATTTAATTATTATCGAATTCCGTATGATTAATTCGTACATAGAGTGAAAAACCTCACATTAATTTTTATCCATCGTTCCTTTACCTACCCTCAACTGAATCAGATCCGAATTCTGGTAAAGGTACAGTATGCCCACGAAGCAATTTCGCATTTGACATAAACATTCCGATAGCCGATTGTGATCTTTCATCGTCTTCTTCGTCGCCTTCGTTGAACCCATCATCATAATCACCTTCGATATCGGAGTATGTATTATAACTAGTTGTTGTAACTTCTTCTGTGAATTCTTCCACCTAAATACAAATAATATAATATTCATAAATATGTAATAATTATACAACATAGTATAAATTTAATTATATATTAATTTTTTATCTTCTTGGTTTTATGAATTTATGTAATATATTTAGGTAAACGTAACATTTTCGAAATTACTTGTTGTACAAGTAATAATATGTATGCATATACGTAATTTATTTATATTTTAAGTATGTTACTTATGCAATTATATGACACTTACAGTTAAAGACACTCTAGGAGTTCTCCGCGGATCTCCAGTCTTTTTCGAATTTGAAAAATTCTGATTTAAACCTGCATACATAGTATTAATACTTAATGCAATACATTAAGGTTAATAGCGAATCTGACATAGAGTTGAAAAAAATACATACCCGTTTGTTTAGGAGGATATTTAGTGATTCGAGTCCTTCCGGTTGGCACATTTTTTTTCGTTTGGCTATTAGCAACAATCTAAATAAAAAAAAAAAAATTAAACGTATGATAAAAAACAGTTTTTATAACTTACAAACATAGTTATTATTAGTTCAGCGTGACAGTTTAACAAGCAACTGCCTTCTAAACTATAAAGGAATGGTAGGAAGCCATATCTAAGCTTATAGTATGGACGAAAAAGGGTTTCCATATAACATCATGTAATGTGTTTAATATAAATACCTACGGAAGTAAATACCGCGTAACAGAAATAGATATCGTACCTTATTTAAAATAGCAGTGGCCAAGAGATCTTCGTAATTTTTTTCTTTTAAATCTTCAGCCAGTGGAACAGCGCACTTTTTCTGGGCAGCCTTACATATTCATACGTAAAAAATTAATTTTTTATGAATTAATAAAGTTATTTTTTATTTGTTTTAATATAAAAAAAATCTTTCAAAATTAATATTATTCACCTATTTTTTAGCTTATGATTGTTGATTAAAATGTTATTAAAAATTAAATTATAATATTATCTTATTGTTCACATATATACATAATTAATTATCATACAATATGTTTGAACAATAGAAAATATAATAAATATTATTAATCTATACATTATTTATAGTTATTAAAGAGGGTAGAATACAAAGAATTTATAAAATTCAATGAAATCTAGAAACAAAGCTATTTAATATTAATTATATATCTTTGTTGTAATATTATTTCAATAAAAATTTTAGGGCTTTGCTCATCAGATCTCTGAAAGGAGGGGAAATTTTCAAGACCCCTGTTGGCCCACACAGATCTCTAAAGAAGTTTCTCTTTTTCTTTGCATCTTAAATTTAATATAATATTTAATTTAAAATATTTAAAAGTAAAGTATGTGAAAAATAAAATTTATATAACTTTTTTTTAATAACAGCAAGTTAAAATAATTTAAATAATAATAATAATTTATTTATTGGTTGCCGTGGAAATTATATTATAGTGAAGATAAAAATTAAATACGTATATAAATCTTTGTTTATAATAGAAAAATTAAAAATAAGATAGTGGTAGAAAAAGCATTCCAATCACTGTAAAAACTGACCTGTAGTTCTGGAAGATTTTCTACATCGTCAGACACTTCTTGCAAAATTGTATTTAATTTTATTGGAATATCATCAAACTCGTCAGACTCTAAAAAAAAGTGTATTTAGGTTAAGTGTAGTTTATATTAAAAAATATATTGAAACGAAGTATTAACGTTTGAGGTATTAGCAGTGAACCAAAAAAGAATAACGGCTGTCGTGTCTATAGACTATACTCGTGTACTGTAAATGTTTAAATAAGAAGACGGCCATTCATTTTTCACTTTCGAATGTACTAAATATGTTTTTAATAGATCCTAACGATCCGTTTTGACATATTTATTATTAATAAATAAATACTTACCGTTTATGATGGAGTGTATGGCTGCTGTCAGCGTGGTGGCCAACTGTTCGTGGTATTTCCAACATATTGACATGTCTAGGCCAGAAAAAAAATATTCAACATTAATTTTAGCATACTTTATTAAGTAAATATAAGGTTTATGATACATACATAGCGGGTGAGTGGACAGAGGTGTAAGGCAAACGTCATCTAGACCTCCATCCACCAGCCCTTCGACTAGCCGTTCCAAATAATCGCGGACTTCGAAAAACTTATCTTCTATAGAACATAGAAAATATACATAAAATATTTAAAACAACTGATACCAGTTATAAAAGCCTAAAAACAATTCATAATGCTTCGTGACATCTATAATACGAAGTATAGATGAATTCGTAAATTTAAATATGTACACTAAAAGCTTATGAAAGAAAAAAATTATACCTACATCAATTTTAAAAAAATGCGTGCGTGTACTTACGATCATTTTCCGCCTTGGACGCCACTTTCGCTTTTAATTTGGTGTTTAAAATGTCCCGCTGTTGGATGTACAGCAATTGGTGCCTAAAAATCGAAAAGAAAAAACGTTATAACATTAATATAACGCTGTTTTCGGTTAACCGCGAAAAGTAGAAATAGTATACGTATAAATATATAATAATAAAGCCAACGACTCTCACAATCGCATAATGGATTGATGATAATATTACTATTGTTTCGTTGCTTCAGTTATTATTCGATTAACGGCGTTGTCGTAATTTCATAACTACACTATATTATACTGTATTACCAATTGCCGGTATTATTATTATATTAATTATAATTTATATCAGACGGTGAAAAACTTAAACAAAAATAGTTCGACACAACAGGTGAAAAACATGAACGTAAACACGTCCATATCGTTTTGGTCGTCAGTGTAGTCCGACAGAAAAGGCCGATCGGCCATAGGTATGGCGTTGACGCTCATGATCGAACGGCGACGAGACTTATAATAAGTAATCAAGATTATTCTGAATCTACCTATCTGAAGAACCGGAAGAAAAAATTAACTTTCTCCGCGTGTCCGCCTATACGTATATAATATTTATATTGCCGCAAGTGACATAATACAACGCATAACGATAGAACGTCCCAACCACTCCATCTAAGCGTAGTGCATAATACATAATAATGTACGTACATAATATGTATGGCTTATGCCATATGATATAAAATCACGCGCGATTAGTACGCATCGACTTGGGAATTGTTCCCTCTTCTCGACTGGAAATAGTTCAAGTCTCGTGTACTCTGATCTACGTAGTCATAATAATAATGTTTTACACAATATGTAATAAACGTACTGCAGGTAATGTAGGATTTAGAACTTAGCAATTGCATAATACCATGAACACATATTTTATATTTTTACTATAATATTAATTTTACCTTGGAAAAATACGCATTTATTTAAATATTACACCCAAATATACCCCATTTAAAAAAATCAAACCATTAAACTGTCATAGACCTTTACTTAACATTTTTATCTGAATAAAATGCGATAAAAATATAAACATATATTATGTACTAAATAACAATTTTTTATGAATAAACTTTTATATTATTTCATTTTGTTTATTTTATCATTAATATACATTGTGTAACAAAAAACATTTAGCAAGAAATAGTAATAGTTATCAACAAGACATTAGTCGGAGGATATTTATTTTCATTTACTTATATACCCATACATTTATATTTTAACAATTCCATATGTAATTAACCATAATAACATGCTATTAACACATGCTATTCAAATTAGTGAAATACATATTAACATATCATTATCCGAAGGTTTTGTTTTTTAATATTTAAGACGGACGGGGTAAATTGATCATCGGGGACGCAGAATCCGAAAAAAAATTTAAAAAATAAATATTTTTGGCGGAAGGTTTATGGTTAGATGGCTCTGAAGGAGTTCAAGGATTGGCTAAATATCTTGTTGCGGTTATTATATACTTATTTTGTTAAGATGGATCGTGTTGTTATTTCTATAAATAACAACATTAGCTGACCTATTGATATTATTCATGAAATTAGAATTTCGTCTTTTGAAAAATTGTGTTCTATGGCATAATATAATCTAGAAATCTGCGAGTGCCTTTCAGTAAGGGCTAACATAATGCTGGCATAATTCTTATTAGCGGTTTCTACGATTAGTAAGGCTTGTTTTTCCACTTCGTTTATTTTTTTCTTTAAGCTGATTAATTTCTTTTGACATTGATTCGTTTTTTTCTATAATCATTTTATTCTTGAGTTCGTTAAAAAACAAATTAAAAATTATAATAGTTTTTTTTTTTCATTCTAATTTTAGAGCTTACTGATTTCGCATTTCCAAAAAAACTGAATGTGCATCACCAGTCAAACTAACACGTACTTAAACTAATATTATAATATTTTTTATGTTAATATTTTTTTTTTTTTTAATATTTTCGGTAAAATTATCTTCAATCTTCAAAAGTCAAATTATTTTGCTTTACACAACACAGAGTCATATACTCTCCCTTGTGAAAGTTACATCTACATTAAAGGGACTGCATTAATCAAGCCTATTGAAATAACAGATAAAATTCAATTTATAAACAATGGGCTAACATTTTTTTCTCTGAAATGAAATAATGAAATGAATGTGATTCAAATTCAGAAACGTTTCAGCCACATGACTAGACTCGTCTTTCACATAATATTATACAACATAACAAATTTGAGTTCAGTAGAACACGTTATGTGGATAGTTAACTTTAATACTAAAGTGAATTTATTTATTATCAAAATTAAAGCTGTGTAAAATATTACAAATTGAAAATGCTCATATCTAGGTTAAAAATTAAAATATTGAAAAAAATCAATGGTACGACATTAGTTATGTTCTAATCTTTAGTCTTGATAATAGGTAAAATTAACTCTAATATTAAAACTAAGAACATATTATTATAATGTGTTCTACTGAACGAAAACATGTTATTTTATACACATGTACGGAAACGATACATATAAATATGGCGTCCTCTTAATCAATTAAGTTTATATAATATTTATCATCAAATTTTACGGCACTATTATACACCATTAATTTAACCAAACTTAATAGTAATCGATTATCGCTTTATCATTTTTATTGCTTTGCCTATACGTAATGATACACTGTATAAACTATTTTACTATAAGTATTAAAAATAATCACAATTTACATTTTTATTTTATTAATAACTATATTTCACACTAAAGTAAATACCGATAATAGCTGATAAATAAATACATTAATTAATTTTATGAAGATGGATTAAAACCTTTAATATCCATACGTTTATTGTGTTATCTAATATATTATACGATTCTTTTAGGTCTTTTAAATAAGGTCTAAACGCTTACAACTAATGTATAAAACTAGTTATTCAAAAAATCGATTTTGTATTTTTTTCTTTTTTTTGTTAATAAATAAATACTATTACAACGAAACAATTGCTGTCTCCTATCTATTTTAATTTACTTATATAATTACGCTATAGATATCTAATAGATTCATTATCATAACGTATTTTTTATAATTATTTCCTTTTGATTGGGTAAAATTATACATAATTATTTGTTACTTATCAGTAGTAATAATTCTAATTTTATCAATATTAAATCTTAAATATTGTAAAATCTAGGTTAGTTTAAATTTCGATGTTAAACCGGCAGTTAGTCATAGTATGCTATGGATAGTAGCATAACATACTCGTCAAGGTAAGATGTTCACATTTAAACATGTTTATCATATTATATATTATTTAAATATTATTTTATATTAATTTTTATTTAGAATCCAAAATTATATCTTACATGTTGTATAAAAAAAGTGCATTAATCTTAATTTCATATCGTTTTTTTTAATATTGAGCAAAACGGAGATTTAATGATTTAATGATTTCAAATTTTTTTTTTCTTGAAAATTATTACTAATTAAAAAGGCTCCTAAAGTAGAAATTAGCTGAATGAGTTTATTTCTAAATTTCAACTAGTTAGTTCTTAATTTATTAATAAACTACATATACGTGAATAAACTCTGGTTTCTATACCATATCCACGTCTTTTAGATTCTAAACTGATTGAAAAGAATATATTGGTTTTATAATGATGAATATTTTTCAATCGTTTATATTTGTCATCACATTTTGGAACATAAAATTATTTCAATCCATAACTTTTATATTAGTATAAAATTGGATGTTATTGAATTTTTTTTAGATTTCATTAGCAGAAAATTCTAGGTAGGTATCTTTTAAAATAAGTTACAAAAATTAGTAAAATAACAGTGACAATCCGAAGTATTTGGTATTTTCTTCAAATATTTATATAAGCATTTTCTAAACATAATAATACATGAATATAGTTTTCAGAATATTTTGACACTTTTCTAAAAAATTTAGTGTTTATAGATATTTAAAATTGATTTTTTAGTTATTTTTGATTTTTGTTGATGAAATTTGAAACTTATGGTAGCTAGAAGAATATTGTTGAAAATCATTAATATTATTTTATAAAATATTATAATATGAATATATATAAATATATTATCGTGATTTTCACGCTTACGCCTACGCGCTATAATCAGTAGTACCAGAATACACCCACGAAAAAAAAAATGCTTTTGGTCGGGGGACTGATAAATAAATAGGTACCTCAGGTACCCGTACCGCGTAGACTAAATAAAATGAAAATCACTTATCGTCGCACAAAACAAATTTTTGTGTACGCAGGCAGTTGTTAGTTGGCGGCGAGTTTCGGGACGACTGCAGCTGCAACCATTAAGACATTTGCCGTCGATACTCGTGATTATCGCACAAGAACATAGCTCTTATTAGCATAATTGCCGCCGGTATACCGCTATTGGTACCGCAGTACCAATAATATCCCGTCGTGTATACCGTTTAATACCGCGTGGTAATCGCGATGGCCGCAGAAACCCGCCGCGCAGGTGCGGCGACCACGGCATTGTTGTTGGCGCTCCTGGTCCAGGCTCCCGGCACCCGGGCCGTCACCGACGATATGCTGAAGGTCGCGTGCTCGGATATGACGCCCAGACATACGGGTTACCAGCCGGAAAACGAAATTGGAGTGCCGTGCCCGTTCCGGCTGACGGTGGACCCGTCAACGCCCGTGGTGCCCGGCAACATGGTGAACTTGACGCTCTGGTCCCTCGGCATGGCCACGCCGTTCAAAGGGTTCATGGTGCAGGCCCGGGACGTCAACGGCCGGGTGCTCGGCACGTTTCTGCCGGAATGCTGGAACGAGACGCGACATCACATGATCAGCTGTCCAAACGGCGACGAGCCATACGTAAGTCGGTTTTTTGTTTCATCAAATCAGATTAATCAAGATTTTATCAGATTAAAAAAGGCTAGGGCCAATCTTCTATATACGTTATACATATAGAAGACCGCTTCTATTCGCTTAAGCAATCCTTAAGCAATTAAGGGGCGCACTAAGAAAGGATTTTTCAAAATTCGATCTTTAAGAAGGTAAAAAAGGTTTTTTTTTAAGTTTGTATAGATTTTATATAGCTATATATGTACCTATTTTTTTGTCGAATGTTAATCACAGTGTATAATTGGTATTAAAAAAACCAGTCGAAGGTAATCGGCGACCTACGATTACAACACACAATACAGATCGGTGGTACACAGTCAAAGTCCAAAAATAATGTGAAAAGGTGAAAATGTGATGCATTTTTCTACTGTCGATCATCGGTCCTAATCTAATGGATGATACCATATCGGCTCCCGCTAGACGTTAATGAGTCCATATCAGCTCCGGGTCGTTATTCCTTGCTATCCGTTAAATAGCCGTATTGCGTTCGGTTTTTTTAATTTTACATTATTTTTAAAACTCCAATAAAAATTTAAGTCAACACAATTTTTAACCATGCCTACAGAGAATTTCTTCTCACCGTAGCCAGTCCTCAGCTTGTAAATGGGAAGGAAAATGTTGTTGATTGGGAGCCGATACGTCCATACCACTGGCATCGGATTGGAGCCGATACGGCCACCTTAAAATGAAAAGAGGGAGCCGATGCGTATACTTCCAATCTAATAGTGCTACAACAATTAACACACACACACACATAATTAAATTGTGCATACCTCATAATATTAGCACTATCAATACTATTATATTAAACATTAACACATGACCTACGAAAATGCCAAAAAGAAACTAATACACAGGCAACGCCATGTCGAGACAGCTAGTACAATATATATTAAATTATTATGTAAATTGTGATTTGAAATTTATTGTTGTTTAATTATTTATTATTGATATTGTAGCTATACAGCTTGAAGTATGACATTTCAAGAAAATTAATAAAGTTTTATATTTCTTTATCATAGTAAATAATTTGTAACAAAGTCAGTCGTATGCAAATAGTAATGTATTTATATACACTAATATAAATTGAGAAGCTAAAGTTAATCGCCAGCTCTAATCTAATTATAATCAATATATGCATGATAACTTCAATTAGACTTAATTAAGTGTATAACGGTTAATATTTTATTTTTTTAGAATGTAGCGGTTCAGTCAAATAACAAATATAAATCAAAAGAAACTTTTACGTGGGTAGCTCCATTATCACTTGAAGGATTTATTCGATTTAAGTGAGTAAATATTTTTATCTGTTTATTCCTTAATCGGATTTAAGTTTATACAAAAGTACATTTTAAGAACTTAAATTAATTGTATGTTATTTTAACGTACATTATGTAATTAAGCTTAGGACTAATATGCCTATTACAACTACTACATATACTAGCTTTAAAATATATAGGTACATTATAATTTTAAGCTACTGTCTTTCTTTTACAGCCTTACTATTAAAAAACGAACACATCCATCACATGACTTAACCTACATTCGCTCAATTTTTAATATCCCCTCACCAGCTTTTTGTTTGCAATGTTGCTGTGCAATACGTATTTATATCCATAATTTTTTATGGTATCCTTTAAAATTAATAAAAAATATTTAGATCCCGATTTACTTTTTAGTTATAGCCTGCAAGTATCTGTGATACCAGTTTCGCCCGCTCCCTTAAATAAGTTTTAGATCCCCATTGGTTTGTTTCTATTTTCCTTTCTATTTCTCAAAAAAAAAATAAAATAAACATTGTGTTCCATTTCACTCACCAGCTCCTAAGGGCATAAACATCCACTTCTTAGAATGTTACTTCACTTCAATCCAGACCTCAGCACTTACCTGTGTACACTATTTACTAACGCAATGCAAGTAAAGTCTTTTATTTATAAAATAAACGGCTATCATTCAATTGAGTCACGCAAATACTTTTGGGTTATCGAAGATAAGTCCGACCAATATTCTTAAATTATTCGAGTTAAGTCCCTCTTTGTATTGTAATAAAAGTATAAAGATTCAATTAATTGAAAAATATCAAAAATAATAATAAATAAAATACATTTTACTTTTTTATCGACAGCTACAGAAAAGTACTAAAAAAAAAAAAAATGGAAAATTTGTCATGCTTATAATTATTTCAAAAAGAGTTAAAATTTGTTGAAAATGTTATGATAATATAAGTATTGAAAATAATAAATTGAAAATTTCAATTACATACTTATCTCATTATTTTTGGAGACAACAAAATATTAAAAATTCGTCACCTGCCATGTTAAGTAGTTATGACATTTTATCTTTACGGACTAAATTCAAACGCATAAAAGTAGCATGGACTCAATTCAATATAATGATATAAACATTAGTTGATTAAAAATAATCTATATTTTTGTATAATTTTAATAATATAATTAAACTAAATAATTTATAGTACACTGTTTCAAAGACAATTAGTGCAAGGATCGCTTTATGTATTTAATAATTTTATAATAGGATTTTAGAAATTAATAGGATATCATTTCTATTCGGAATATAATATACAAAAATTTTTCAAAATATTTTTTTAGTGTGCCTGCGATATGTTTTTTTCTGAAACGTAATGAATCTACCGACTATTTCAAATTATACCTATTAATAAGTAGAGTTTAGAAATTGAAAAAAATTGTTTATTTTTTTGGCTTGATATAAATTCTGACGTACTACTTGTACCTACATATTTTTTAGAATATTAAATTTAAAAGTGATTTATCAATACTTTTTACAAGCTATTTTATATATTGATTTATATGTTTTCAACTTTTCACTTTAAGATAGCGCAGGTAGTCACAGACAAAATTTTTTTTTTAATTTTTTTGCTTTAATTAGTGGTAACAATTAATTTTACCTTTGTTTTTTATTACCTGAAATAGTAATACTCATTACTCAACTCGTCTTTATTTGTTATTATTATCTATAGCGTTGTGGTTAAGAATAAAAAAAATTTTCACAACGCTACGCTACATTATAAAAAAATAAACTTTAATTAATTTTCGGTTTATCAAAGATTTTAATAAGTAATATTATTTTATTATGATAGTAGTGTTACCAACTCGATAACTTGTAAAGTATAGTACTTATAATGATAATGCAAGTTTAAATGACATAATGTAAAATAATTAATCTATTTTTGGTAACATTATTCATCGTTAAAATATATATATTCAACACAGGCCATTAACAAAGATAGGTACCTTGCAAATCCTGCTATAAATGTTTAGTTCTAAAAATTTAATGTTAGTACAAAACACATGGATAAAAAAAAAATATTTAATTAACAAATAGAAGGTTACAGATCAAAGATGATATATTATGAAAGAATACTTTTGTTACGTTTGAGATTTCTATTAATTATTTTTTATTAATTAAGCAAATTTTATAATTTTTAGGTACACAGTTGTATTAAATTATGAGCATTATTGGACTAATCAAGAAACCGAGGATATTCCAGTAGCTAAAATTTCACAGGAGGAATTTAACATGAAAAAATCTATTAACCCTCAATACTATATTTACAAATTGTATATTCAAAACTGTTTTAGTTAATTCAATCTAATAATACATATCAAATAGTAAATTTTAAGAATAGTGCATATATTTTATAATATACATTTATAATATATATACATTTTATTTTAAATATAATAATGTCATAGTAGTAAAATTATAATTTATAAAATACATAAATATTTTATTAAAAAAAAAAATTTAACTTTGTGCACACTTAAATACAATTTTGCAACGACAAAATCAGACTATGAATAGGCGCATAAATAGTATCATGCGCTCGTGCCACGTATACTACTACATAATAAGTAGTAAGTGCTCATTTTTTATCCATTTTGAACAGAAAAGTGTATGATTGTTTGTTTAAATAGATACATTAGATGTGAACAAAAATATACTACGTTATTATTTAATAAGTAAATTGCTAGTCTAAGTTTTAGACGATACGAACTGGTATTGCAGATCTTACAATACTTAATAATATAGTATTAAATATTTAAATATATCGAATGGTATAGATTTTTTTATAAACTTAGTATTTTGCGAATGTTAAAATATATTTTTAGATGATTTTAATCTACTTAACATAAATAGTGCATTTTACTTACGTTCCGGATAAATTTACAAGATTGGTATTATAAAATTTAAAAAAATATGTATAGTTACTATTACAATTATTGACTTGTGCGGTTTATTTTTAGAACAATGTTTTTTTGAGTGATAACCAAAAAATCGATTTCTTAGTTTTAAATTTAAAAATAACATATTTTTCACATAAACGCCCGATTGACCTTAACAAATTTTTTTTCCATTGAACCTAAATCTCGACCGAGGTCGTGCGAATATAGTCGATTAACAAGTCCCAATTTTCGTTTGTCAATATACTACAATGTGAATCGGGACAGTTAATACGAGTACGTAGCCCGCGTCCATTAATATGCAATATGCATATTTTAACGGGCACATATTATTTGTATTATCGATAATCTACGAGTTAACATCAAGAACTATACGAGTATACTATGAATTATGAATAGAAAAACTTAAACACCAAAATATTCTGCAAAAACATTTGATTTAACAAACAACGTTTTCAAAAAAAAAAAAAAATTAATCATAGACTTTTTCCATTAAATCGTTACCTTCAAAATGTTTTTCGGAAATCATGATTTTTATCCGCGTTACAAGATATCTTGCAACAATCCCAGACTACTCGTAGTTCACCACATATTTTTAATCCTTAGTACGAATATTGGTCATACCGTTGCATAAAATTTATATTTAGTTAGGTATTACTTATTGGTGTAACCTATAAAGAATTATTATACTGATCAGTGATTAAACAATTAACGTTGACACAATTGTAAATATATTTTTTTTACAACGCAACATAAGTTTTATTTGAACAAAAAATGGTTTAGCTCCGCAAGCCCCCGCCAGTCGTGCCAATATATTTCACCAACTCATGGAATAAGAAATACCTACTTAATGTTTTCGCGAACATTGGTGAAGGTGAAACGATTTAATCATGATTAATTACCGGTTATCTTACATTTATATTAAAAATTGTATATATCTTCACACTATAACTTAAAAGTCTGGAAATAATATATTATCGAAAACATTTCAGGTGATTCATTTCAAACTCTTTATTCAATTGTAACCAAAAATTTCACATTTGTCGTTCTAATTTCATTTATTTTAATGCAATTAATATTACTATATACACTATAACTATACCTATATAATTTACTACCATATACAAACATACACGGAAGGGATAGTCATATAATCGCTTTATAATGGCTTAAAATATGTTATATGGCTTAGACCCTTTCCTTTCTCGCCAGTTTACGGTTTGGGTTAATTATTTTATTTTCTACGCATAGGTATGATTTAAAAGTAAACATTTTAAACTTCCGCCCTTCCACTCGTCAATACCTACCTATGGTCTTAACTACTAAGTAAATCCATGAATTCGATTATATTTACAGTAATATTTTTATGCCCAATCTAGACTTTGTATTTTCAATATTAATTTTTTTTTTTGAGAGGGGGGGGGGAACAATCCTAAATAGATAGAGTTGGCTTATGAAAGTAAAAAAAAAATCCACACTAAGCAAGAAATCGTCGGCTCTTCTTAACTTCATTTATGATCAAATATTGAATAGGTAGGTACCAATGGATACAATTAATTATTATCCATTTAAATGATAAAATATTTATCGCTATGCACACTTTATGATTAGGTATAATGAATATAACCTTGGCACCACTCAACCATTTCACGTATAATTATTATTATTAGGTATAGCTAATTATCTATTATGGTTATTAACACTATTAACTTTTATTTATTATGATCAGTGTCATAGCGATTTGTCGGTCTATCTACCGATTTGAGTATTTATTGTTTTAATATTATACGTATAATAATAACACTGAAATAGTTTGATACAAGTACTTGAAGTACCGCTATAATTTGATAATATAATAACAATGCCGTCGATATATTTAATATGTACTCGGAGTGCGCGAAATCTGCAGTGCATATAAAAATTTCTTTTTTAAACGTCTATTAAAGTAATAAATGATTAACTACATAGTATTTAACAATATCATATAATAATAAACAGTTTAATATTGTATTTTATAATGCCATTCGTGATATGTCGCATGGACGCGTATGCGAGTTTTACCACTAATAGAATATTTTAATATATTAATATAATGTCATTATAGTATTATAATACCTACTCATCACTCATAATAAGAATAATAAGTACTGTGCAACATGATTTCTATTATACATTCAATGGTTCCATATTAATTATTATATGGGTCACACAGGAAACGAAGAAATGTTTGTGTGACGTATGATGTGTAAACTGCAATCCGACTATGGTACGAATGATTAATTTATCGAAAAACATTCATTATTACTAGAGATAAGATTTAAATTACCTAAAAAATACATTAAAATTCACTAAAAAAAAACTGCAAAATGACCTAAATACTCTAAAAAATGAACTTAAAAAAATAACCAAAAAATGTACTTTGATAAGAGAAAAAAATTTAATTTTAAAATAATAACTATTATAATTATTATTTATTGATTTTTTATATTACACAAAATAGATAACAATTTGTTAGAAGAAGTAAATTAAACAAATACATTCAAATTTGAGTTGATAATTAATTATATTATTTTTTTCCATATGAATGGATTGGAGTAAGTAATTGGGATTACCTATACAACACAATTAAAAAAAAAAAAGCTTATAACAAACAAAAATGAGTTTAAATACACAAAATTAGCGTAATATTTGTAAAAATGGCCCTAAAAATGCAGTAAAATGCTAAACTGCAAAATCAAAATTACACATTCTAAATTGTTATGTAACAAAAGAAATTTAGTTTTTGGTCAGAACTATATAGCACTTAAAGAAAAAAAATTCAAAAGTCATCAAAAATCCTAGTTTTAATTATTACCGTTTATATATAATATTAATAAAAATATTCTGCTTCGGAATGTAAAATTAAAAATGTATATTAACATTTAAAAAGTAAAACATATTTAAAAATAATAATGGTTAAAGATAAAAATATTATGAACATTTTTTTTTTTTTTCATAAACATAGTTTTATAAAAACAAAATTATGTAAAAAAATATTTTCAAAAATTTTAATCGTTACTGAAATAATAAGTATTATACGTTAAATTAATTGTCTTGAATTTTTTATGGTTAAACTACTTAAACTGGTAAAATTGAAATACTGTTATAAAATGGAGCAATGATAAATATTTTTATTTTTCATACTTCCAATAAAACTTTTTGACACGTATCATGCTCACTTAATTGTTTCATCTATAATATATTTTAATATTATTTCTATAAAATTCATATTATAATAAAATTAATTATGTGATACTTAATTTCAATTTTCAAATACGAATTAGAAATCTCTATTGTTGTAAATTCCAATATTACAATTATTAATTATGTAATATAAAACAATTATTTATCCGTAGGAACGTGAAGAATTTAATCTTAAATTAACCATTTTATAACTGACCCAACAACCAAGTTAGACACCGCATAGGTTGTATTAAGCACATAGGATAGATAACTATATACAAACTTAAGACAATCACAATTTACTACTTTTAAGTCATATAGTACATATTATTATTTATTATTATAGCTATTAGTTTATTTTATGTATTTAATTATTGTATAATATTATGATTAATAAACAAATCATTTATTTATTTAGTTAAGACAGAGGTCTTTTATTAATTTTACATTGATAAATTCAACTAAAATGTACTTTTTGTTTTTCCATAATATCTAATACAATACTAGGGCAATCAATTTAGTTTTATTGATTTAAATAATAATATTTTATAAGAAACCTTGTATGACATTTTCATACTTTTTGAACGAGCAAAAATGATTTTATTAATATACAAAAAAAAAAAAAATAAATACTACTTTAAAAAAATGCCAATGAATAAAATTAAAAAGAGTCAAAATACCTATTTTATTTAAAAATGTTTAATAATATATAAAAACTACTAAAATAAACAATAATTGAAAATTTTAAGTATCTTTATGGTATTATTTGTTTTTGAATTACGATAAAATAAGAACATTTTTCTACCATTAAAAAATATTTCAACTTGAAAATCGAAAAATCTTTCTTCAACAAACCATGTACACATGATTATTAAATAATAAATTCGACACTGCACAGGATCGTTTTTGATATTTTGGAAAACTATCAAATATATTGTATTATTCTTATTTCTAATCTAGTTATTTTATAACATTGGTTGACCAAGCTAAAAATAGGCTGATCTGTTGATCTTAGTAGTTCCAAACAGTGATTTTTTAAAGATTGATTATATTTCTATTAGGTTGATCCAATTTTTTATTTAATTCTGTTGAGTATTTTTATTATTTAATCAGTTAAACCAGTGACCAGGGTCAATAAGTAATAACTAATAAGGGGCATCGCCCATTTGCGCCAAAATAAAAAAAGTACTTTTTTTCCAATCACCCATTTGCGCAAAATAAAAAAAGGTATTTTTTTTCCGAT